ATGGGTACATAACCCATAGAGATCTGAACATCACCAGAAAAAGGATGGATGTGATAGAGATCAGTTTCATACATATCCATTTTCTACACTGTCCTCTGATTCCAATCCTGACTCATTTAAGACTTCTCACTCATGCTGACATCAGTTATGGAAAAAAAATCTGAAAATCTGGAAATTTTCTAAAAATTAGTTAATCATATCTTGGACATAAATTACACTAAGCAGCCATATCTAAATGCCTCAGCCTAAGCTACCATCAATTCCTTTCCAGTTGCATATTAGTGATGGAAGAATTTATAGTCCAAGCATCCCCCTCTCTTATTCTTTAGGAGTGTTAGGGAGTTCTTTTCCTTTGGCTAGGATCTCACTCCAGGAAAGGTTGCTTTCCTAACATACAGGCTAAAGATAGAAATTACACATAAACTAGTTTAATTAATCAGAAACTGGTTTAAACCTGTAACAGAACAGAAGTTCAGTACACATAAGCCAGTTTCAAAATGGCTGAAACTGGTTGAATGTAGTATTAGACTTAACTGATTTGGGACAAACCGGTTTATGAAACTTCTGTCCCAGACCCCTTCCTCATTCAAGTTAAATCACAGTCCACTAGCATCCCAGCATGTTTTTCAGCCCTGGGCTGGGCTGTCTACTCCAGCAGAGAAGGGTTGGGGGAGTGGGGTGAGAGGCAGGGACTGCCTCCACCCCCAGCAAACCTCAGCTGGGATCTGGGGCCAGGGAGGGGGTTAAATTTCTCTGCCCCCAAGTACAGAGCTGCCCTGCCCTGCCCTGCCCTGCTAAAAACTTACTGCTGGCTGCGACTGTGGACTACAAAAACCAGAGGCACCTGGAAGCAGGAAGAGAAAGTGATAAGGAACCCTGCAGAGTCCTGCTGATGTGATTATGAGCTGAAAATCCCGAAAACCTCAGGGGCAGCAGGAAGAGGAAGTGAACACACAACCCATGCTATGAGCCAGAAAACCATGTTCTAGCACCCCCTGGCTTCTGGCCTGAGCCACTGCGGGTATGTGGCTGCATTTCCTGAATCAAAAGTGAATGTGTGTCCAGTTGTTTCTCTGTTTAATCTCTGCATCTTAAACTAACCTGCAAAGACTGAATCAATTTAGCCTCAGGCTTTTTGACTGTCTGTACTTAGTCACAGAGACCCAACCTAGACTTCTATTTGTACTCCACAAATAACTCTCTTCTAAAGAGAAAGATTACAGAGTGCTGTCCCAGCCCTTTCAACTGAGGTATATAAATAGCAGCACAGTGATGCCCTTCATAGCTTTGAACTTTCTATAGCTTTGCTAGTTTTATTCTAAGTCATGTATTTACAGTTACAGTAGAGAAATAACCTTGTGTGCATCTCCTACAGCCCTTCAGCATTGCCAAATCTTGTGAAATTACCATGAGTGTTGTGATATTTGGGTTTCACTATAAAATCTTAGTTCCCAAAGATAGATTAGGTTTTCTTTTTGTAAAAAAAAGTTCATTTTTAGTCTCCATTACTGCAGATAACAGTCTGAAAATGTAGCCTGAGTACATCCTAAAGGAGCAAAACCCAGAAAACAAAAAGAATGTAAAATATAAAAGAATGTAAAAAAGAATGAACTACTTTTATACCAACCTCCTGATTTTTGAGGGTTTGACTCATTACTAATTAGGGCTGGCTACACTGCAACCCTCCTAATAAAAACAGAAGATTCAAGTAGCTAGGGCTCCAGAAATTAGGAGTCTCTTGGGTTATCTAGGAAACTTAATGTTTCTGCTTCCACCTGCATAGAAAATGAACTGTGCAAAAACAAAGCCATGGCTTTGGTACATAGGGAAAAGCCTCAGAGCAATGAGGGGTTGGGTTTTTTTGGTTTGTTTTTAACTTTAACTCATATATTGCTGTGTAAATTCTAATTTAATCTAGTGTGATAAAAAACAGTGAAAAATGAATTGGCACTGTATTAGACAAAGTGTTATTTCAAATGCTGTTGCAAATTTACTGGCTGTCTGATTGTTTCCAGCATTCTGCTTATTATAAACAGAGATCAGGCTGTCAGAAAGTGACATTTCAGCCACAGGCAAAACATGAAAAATATCACACCATGTTGGGAAGAATCTTTAGTCTTATCTCAATGCTTATTATAATATAAATACAAATATGCTTCTTACTTTAATTTCTTTTGCTGTTTGTTTTGTAGCTATGTATGTGCATATATAGCCACAAGGAAATATATATATACAAACTGAACATTTATTTTATGAAAATTGAAACATTAAAAATATTAGTAAATATTGCAATGTACTTTATTGGAGAATGAAAAATACACTTTCTGAAAAGTACTAAAAAGAATAGATTACCTATACTTGGGGAATCCTTACAAGGATTTTCATGAGGTGGCTTGACTTAGAAAGAAAATTGCACATTAATATAGCTTCTAGTCATAGTATATTGTTTTCTCCCCATCCTGCTTACCCCCCTGCCCCTACATTAGGACATGTTGACTTGCAGACATTTGTTACCAAGTTACAGGATTTTAATGAAGTTGCAGCCACTGAACCAGTAATCCAAATGCTTGTTCTTAGCCCCAGTAACCACCTGCAATTTGCACTATCGATTCACTTCAGAGCATGCTGTGCAGACAAGGGTTTATTTCCTTTTTGTAAATGTTACAAGAAATTTAAGGGTTTTTTTCCCTCCCATTATAAAATCCTCACACAAGCAGTCATTAGGTGAAAGCAGTAAATTAAAAATGCAAGGAAAATTATTCAGCTGTTTGCCTTCTGTTTTTTTGTGGACAGATACAACATGTATCAATGTCTTATAAGAAATTAATCTCACTATTTAAATGACTGAAGGTCTATTGTGAAATCTTTCCACCGCAAACTTCCTTTCTTTCGTCAAAATCTTAATTTTTTTCTGAACCAAAGTTATTACATCATCAGAACTATTTTTATAATAATATAATAGTATTTTGGCTTGCCCTTATCAAAAATTAAATTCAACAGATGCAATGTTTTTTAAAGATATCACAATTAAAAATAAAATCAACACAATTCTCATTATTACAATTGTTTAAGAAAAACTCACAAAAAAATCCTCTATTTTCATTTTATAGTTTATCTTATTATATACATTATTCTTCCCTGGAATATTTCCCAAATAGGTTGATCTCTTTGAAAATAGTTTATCAAAATGAATTATAAGCATGCTCAAAGCCAGATTCATAAAATATGATATTTCTCTTTTCATACTAACAATTGGGGGTATTATATAAGGTATCTATATGTTTCATTTACCATTTTGTAAGGAAGCAGAGAATGAATTAAAAGAATTGCAACATTGCATACTTCAGGCAGAGAGGTATGTTGAAAAGTTTTATTTTATAAACTTTGGCATTTATGAGACTATTGCACAAAGGAACACTTTATCATTTATCTGACAGATTTGCAGTTGGTCTAGATTGGTGGTTCTCAGCCAGGTTGCTGTGGGACCCTGGGGTGCTGTGAGATCCTCTTAAGGATGTCACAGGGTGCCACCAATATGAACACTATTAAGGTATTTATACATGTGCTCCGGGAGGTAGGGAGGGGGCTCTTTAATTAGAGCATCTCCAAGTGCTGCTCTAATTAAAGTGCTCAGAACGTCATGTGTATCAGCGTCCCTACACTGAAAAATGGCAGTGGGGGTGGTTTAACTAAAGCTCGTCAAATGAGGTTTAGTTAAAGCACCTCCCCTGCCACTTTTCAGTGCAGGGATGCTAATAGATATGATGCTGGAGTCTGCTGGAGTGCAGTAATTACCATGCTCCAGCAGACTCGATTAATTGAGTCTTCTCCAATGCGCTGTAATTACAGCCTCTTTGCACGTGTATAGGTGCCCTTAGATCAGGGACGGGCAATTATTTTGGCCAGAGGGGCGCTTACTGAGTTTTGGCAAGTCATTGAGGGCTGTATGACAAGCAGCTCAGGGCAGATTAATATTAGTTTTCTAAATTTTTTAGGGGCCCCACGGGCTGGATAGAATGGCCTGGTGGGCCGCATCCGGCCCCCAGGCTGCATTTTGTCCACCCCTGCCTTAGATGCTACACATGAATCACAACCCAAAGATTTCAAATAGGAATCCATAGTGTCAAAAACGTTCTAACCTGATGTGGTCTTTCTGAGTTCTTTGGATAGAAGAATCGCTCAATTATTTTTTCATACGCAAGAAATAAGCCAGCTAAGAACTGGCATTTTTTGAAATACCTTGAGTCTGACTAGGGGAACCTTGAGTCTTAAAAGGTTGAGTCTCTGTCTAGATTGCCAAAGCTCCATTGACTTCAGTGGAATTTATCACAATTTACATCAGTTCAGTTCCCCTTGTTTTCAAATTACTTATAGATACATTTTAGCTAAATGAAACCCTAGTTTTTGCAACACTATGCATAGATCTGTTTGTGGTGTTTGCCAGTATAGTTATACATTTTACAATTCTGTCCTATTTGGCTTTATTCTACAAAGAGACATACCTAAAATGTACATGAGAAGAATACTAATAGAAATATGTTTTATATAAAAACCAACAAAAGTGCATCATGACATGTACAATGATTTAGGCACAGTACCTGCATACACTTTGACATATGATGTCTATAAACAATGCAATCTGAAAGCTTTTTATACTTTGTTAATAGTAATGGTAGACATTTAGCCTGCAAAACTCAGCCATCATCCTAACAAATCATTTTAACTTTTTAAGATAAAGATTAATCTGACAAGGGAACATAAACATCTGATGTAGCAGTGGTATTCAGAAAACAAGCAAGCTATCCAGTATGAAGCATAAGTAGATTGTTACAGTTCGTGAAAGATGCAGTGAAAGATAACTGATTTAAAATTGTCTCAGTTCGTGATCCGGTGCTGACAGTACTATACTTACTATATGGACAGCCAGTACATTAGTAATACACTAATATAGATGACACACAGCATTATCCAGTTTATTCTTGTGATAGGTGGCCCGTTACCTTTCACATGGAGGATAGCACTTGATGAGATTGTGCCATTAGAATTTTTAGCTCGAGCAACATAGAGGCCAGCATCTGTATCAAACACCTTCTGAATGAACAAAGTATGCTTTGTCTCCTTTTGTAAGAGCGTAAAGTGCTCATCTGCAGTCAGTTTCTGGCCCTTCTTGTACCTGAAGCAGAGAGTCAGTTTTCAAGTCAGATTTACATCAGTGTTTTCTGAAGCAGAATTTGCTGATCTTAAGACACCTCTACAACAACTTGGCAATAACAGAAATTGATAGCTGCAGCTCCACTGATTTTCCCATTTTCAAATGGATTAATTTATCTGATTCACACAACCAGCTAAATACATTTAATATAGGACAGAAACAGGATTGTTGGCAAGCTGCTCTGCATGATTATGCAGGCTGTGTGATGTCCCACTTACTTCAGTTGGGATTTGCAGAGACTTGGCTGGAAAATTTTTGCTATTGAAGGGTTAAATTCACCCTCCAGAGGACCTGCAGGAAAAACTAACTACACAGAACTTATCTCCGTCATTAATGGCTCTTTATTGGTGTGTAAAACATAATACAAGTCCTCTGCACAAATATCAATTTTAGCCTCCCCCAAAAAGCAGTAAAGAGTAAGAAGTCAGTTTCCCTGCTACTCAGTTGTTGCAGATCCTCATTCAGTGTTAATCAATGTCACTTCATGAATCAAGGAACCTTTTCCAATTTACATCAGTTGAGGATATGGATATACACATTTATGTCCGATTTACTTTCTCTAAGTAAAAGGTGAAGCCGGCCCTGAATATGTTGTTTGTGTGTATGCTGCATTTAACAATACCTAAAGGCAAAACTCCCATCCCTATGACACTATATAAATCTGTGAAAAAAATTGCTACAGTGATCCTGCACTGAGTTTTTATTGTAAAATATGGCACTTAAATTTTTATAAAACTGTGAAGTTTATTTTGAGAAACAAGTTCTGCCAACAACATATTTCTTTGGGCTAATTGAGCTAAAAATATAATTGGAAGGACTCCTTAATTCACAAGCAGTGCTGCCTGAAAGTACAGAGTATGGAAATGGAAAACTAAATTACTATATTATTGATACAGGCAGAATGTACTGCTAGTGTTTCAATGTTGTAGGTAAAAATTCAGATTATTAACAGATGGGTTTGCAGTTCTTAGTACATTGTAAAAGCACTCCCTTTCCCTCTCCCTGCAACTGTATAGATACTTCTCCCTCTAGCTCTGTTTTTTAATGTGTGATGCCGGGCATTGCAAAAATGTGGACTAAAATATATCTGGGAGCAATGTCCACCATTAGCAAATTCAAAGAGGAGCTTCTTTGGAAGAAACAAATTAATGACATATATATAGAGACTGGATTTTATAAAAATGAAGCAACATATGAAGACCTAAAAATAACTCTCTGAAATGTTCTGACCCCTATCTCCATCTCTATCTTTTGCAAAGCATTTGTTTTGTTAATAGTCCTGCTGTTAAAAGATAGTTATATTTTATCAGTTCTTATTTGTAAAAATTCCTACAAACACAAGATATAACAATCTAATTTTAATTAATAAAAAACTCTGCATATGACAGTGCAGGGGGAGAGAGTGAATATTTGCTTCAGACTTGGACCTCACTGTAGGCTTACTTTCTTTGTATTCAGTCTTTTTTCATGTTTTGGAAAAAAAAAAGTTTGGGCAAGTGGCAGAGACAGTATAGAGGAGTCTTCCTGCATTATGTTGATCCTAAAATGTGAGTTTCATTTCACAAATCATTTTTAAAAAGTGGAATGTTAAACTGAGAAATAATAGAAAAGTGCTGACTGTGTTTGCTCCAAATAAATGTCTGATATGGTCACAAGTATTTTGATGCTCTGATTATCACTGAAGTTGAGAGCAGTGACATTTCATGTGGGTTAATGTTAAAAAAAACCCCCAAAACAGAAAAGTGGAACCATGCAGAACTATGGAGTGATATGGATACAAGCAATTCACTCTACTTTTTAGATTAGGACACACAGTTATACATGATTTGATGTGTATTTTTACTGGTATGTTTAGTTCTTTTCATTATAAGCTACCCACCATGTCAGTGTAGGCTCTGGAAATCCTGTTACTTCTGCTTCCAAAGTTACTGGAGAACCTTCCATGACAGTTACATTAGACAGGAGCTGGGAGAAGTTAGGCGCCTGTCCAGATAGGCTGACCATGCTGTTCTTTTCTGATGCACTTTTAATCTCTTCTCGGGTGACCATCTGCCTCTGACAGCTTCTGGTAGCGTCTGATTGAAACATGAGATCTGAGAATGCACCAGGCAAAGCATGCAGCCTATCCTGGGTTTTAGTAAAGTTATTAATGCCATGCAATTGTTCTTGTGTTTCTGTCATGCTTTTATGAATTTCACAGTGCTGCAAATGCTTCTCACACACTTCACCCATCATGCTATATCCTGGTCTTGCATTTACTATGCAGAAAGCAGTGCTAGTTTCTGGTGTTTCTGGTGAACTGTAAGTCAAAGGAGACTGCACTCTGAATTTTGGATGATGACATATGGTAGAGGGGAGAAACCTCTCAGACTGATTGGATGCATTTTCCCTTCTCTGATTCGTAGTGTCAGCGTAAGCAATAGTTGTTAAGAGACCAGACTCATCGGTCATTCTTTTACTGGTAGTATTTATCTGCATTTGCAAGCTATAGGAGCTGACATGCAGACTATGAGAACTACAGCACGACTGATCTTCCAGCTCTGTTTCAGAATGCAGGAGGTTGGATTCGGGTGTCTCAGAAAGCGGTGGCAATGAGATATCATCAGGTGATATACACTCATATTCATCCCCAGAGGGCATTTCTTCTGCCAGGAGCTCAGTCTGTAAACTATCCTCTTTGGCAGAAGAAGACAGCTCTGCATACTGAGAAATGAAATCCTCACCAGCTGGGCAGATATCTGAAATATCAGCCAATTTATTCTCTTCCTTAAAAATAGAAGGGAAAAAAAGAAAGAGAGAACAGGCTATTGTAATGCACATCCACATTCATGTACAAGTTAATAATAACATTTGCAGTATTTCTTCTTCTTAAACTCACTTAATCCACCCTGGGAAACATGAATAAATGTGGCAGAATCATTAGCAGAAAATTTGCAGCTATGGTACAGTAGCTCCAAATAGCTTGGATATGGTCTGACAGGGAATATAATATGAACACTTTAAAATTAGGTTCAATAACAATAAAATGTAATGTACTACTTTGGGTGAACAAATGACCACTGGTAGATTTCCTGTGACCTGTGTTTACTATGGGTGACTGTAATGAAAGATGGTATGGGCACAGTCACATTCATGGGAATAGAAACTATGCTATGTTACTATTGTAACCAGTGACAAGTTAAAATCAAATTACTGGATCTTTGATCATCCTTAGAGAATGGTGATCATTCTTTGAAGTAGTTGACTGGTTGTACTTCATAAGTTAAAGGCTACCCTAGCAAATATAAGAAATTTTTAGAGCATTTTAAACTTTTTCTTTAAACTTTTTTCTGTCAGTTGTCTCAGAGAAAAATATTAGGATGATTTTACTATTAGGAGCTTAGGTCCAAATAAAGATTTTCTTTCATCATATTTCCAGAAAGTAATTGTATGTGATATGTGAGCATGCATTTCTAGCTTCAGATCAGCAAAGACTGTTTGAATTATTTAATTACTCTTGTGCCTGGGCTCTGGCTGGGGCTTTGTACTTCTGTACTGGCACAGACACATAATACTTATGTCTCTCTCATTGGCCCCAGGTTTCTAGAAGGGTGCTTAGAGAACATAAGTCCTGTTCTTATAGTGTTGTCTTGCTAAATGATATGCAAAATATTTGATCTATCAGCCTTTGACATTGCTTGAATTTACAGGTCTTCCATTCTGTATCATGTATAACTACATGGATGCAACTGGATCTTCCTGCTGGTCTCCAAGCTAAACATCTGTTGAAAGATTCATCCAGAGGTGTAAAAGCTAGGGCCTGTGCCCTGTGCAGCAAGAGGCAGTGATAGGGGTTGGGATGGCTATGGCAGCTGGGCTGATGGCAGCAGTGGCTGCTGTTTATGCTCCTCCTCTAAGTTGGCTCCTGAGGATTTTGCCCTGGTTGTCCACCACTTGTTACACCACTGGGTTCAGCAAATCTCTCCTTCTGTTTAGTTAATTCAATGTTGCTTACTTGTAATTCAAACATAATGTATGTGAGAGGTTGCAGTAAAGGAAAACTTAATCCTTGAAAAGTGAATTCAAAATGGGGGGAGGGGGGGAAAACACAGGAAAGCAAAATTCAATTTTTAATTTGCTGAAATGTGTGTGAATAATTTGCTCTACTATACACTCAGAATTAGTTAAGAGGCTTTTAGACTAATGTATCAAGCCAAGCTATTATGGTGGTGTTCATTCCATTGTTTATTAGAGCTGTAATTAATTGTTAACTCAAGATATGGATTTCTGTGAGTTAATTCCTATGTTCACCTACAACTAATTTCTTTTCTTTTTCTGTATGTCTCTTACCCAACACCTTCAACCTTAGATATATTGTCACGTACAACTTTTAGCTTTAATCTTGTTCAAACGTTCATATCACTGAGTGATCAGGGTCCTCGGTGATCAAGATCAGATTAACATTAGTTGCAGTAATAGGCTAGGGACAGACATTACACATAAACTGGTTTAAGTGATCAGAAACTGGTTTAAACCTGTAACAGAACAGATGTTCAGTGCATAAACCAGTTTGAGAATAGCTGAAATCAGTTAAAAATAAACCTGGTTGAATGTAGTATCAGACTTAACTGATTTGGCTCAAACCAGTTTATGCAGACCTCTTGCTGGTTTAAGATAAACCATATGCCCCCAGCATCCCAGCATGCTCTCTGGGCTGGGCAGGGCTCTCTGCTTCACAGCAGGGCTGGCCCCTCCCCTCTGCTCCCTGGCTGCAGCTCCCCCACTTCCTCCTCACTACTCCCTGATAAGCAGGAATTACCCCCTCTCCTCTGCCTTGCTGAGGAGGTTTCTGTGCATTAGCTAGCAGGCCACATGCTGGCTACTGTCCTTGCTGAATCAATAGGTAGAATCAACCAGCAGAATCAGCAAGTAGATGGTAATGTCCCTCTGTTGTTTTCTTAATTGGGTGATAAACACTGTTATCAACTCCGTGCTCGGCTAATCAGAGCATCCTGAGGGAGTCTGGCCATGCCCCCCTCAGCTCCATGCTGTGGAAGGAAGGGAGGGCTGCTTTAGCACCTCCTGGCTTCTAGCCTGAGCCACTGCAGGCATGTGCCTCCATTTCTGGGATGTCTGTCCAGTTACAAAACTGATTTAGATTAGCCAGGTTAGACTAACCTGCAAAGACTGAATCAATTCAGGCTCAGGCTTTTTGAAAGTCTAGCCATAAAGTTTGACATAATGAGTCTATTTATTAAAATATTAGCAGGGAGAAACACTTGAAAGAGTATTAAAGTTTAAGCAGGCATAATTTAAAATGACAGGCCAAGTAACTTTTAAATGGTCTAAGTCTCCATGAACTGAATGAAATCAGAAGCCCTGATTCTCTGATTTTTATTACTCCACGTGGACTGACCTATAAACAGACGTATTTGACTGGGAAAGTGACATCATAACTGCACACAAATGACATCATAACAGTGTACAGATCCAGTCCACAGTCCCATATTATCTGGCCCATGGACTCCCCACGGGTCCAGAAATTTGACAGCAGGAGAACAGTGGGACCACTCCCCACTGCAAATTTTCAGACCTATAGGAAGCCCCAGGTCCTGCACACTGGACCAGCCTCTGGATGGGCTGGAGTGGGGTAGACAGTCAGGCCCTAGGGACCAATCTTAGTGTGGGGGGCTGGAAGGGAGCAGTGCCAGGCCATGGGGACCTATCCCAGTGTGCTGGGTGGGAGATAGCAGTGACAAGCTTCTGGGAATTAATCTCAGCATGCAGGGGCAGAAGAGGGCAGTGCCAATTCCCATGGCCTGCTCCCAGAGCGTGGGGCAGGGAGGGGTACGGTGCCAGGCCCCATAACTTGGTCCTGGTATGTTGGGTTGTGACAGGTCATCACTCTGGGCCGCCCTCAATGTGCCCCGCACACCTGTCTCTGGGGCAACCGCCCGCCTCCTTGTCTGCCACGTCTTGATCTTAATTAATTAATTAGCTGGAGGCTGCCCTTAGCGCCCCCTAGCGGAGGGGGCAGTATATCTGTGGCTCCGTTTCCTCCCCTACACCACAGTCCATACCTCGCCAATGTAATTACCATTGTCTCAATTCTCTTACTCCAATTCTCTCGCTATTTGGCCCCTTACTGTTCTCCCTGGGCCTCCCTTCCTCTGCTGCCCCCTCCTGGGGCTTTCCGTGCCCAACTTGGGCCTCTCAACAATGCAGCCCCCTATCAGGGGCTCCCAGTGCCCAAACTTGGGCTTCTCGATAATACTGCCCCCTTTCTGGGGCTCACCGTGCCCAACTTGGGCCTCTCACTAAGATGGCCCCCTTTCTGGGGCTCGCCATAGTGCTGCCCCCTTCTCTGGGGCTTGCTACGCCTACACTTGGGCTCTTCAAATGCCCCTCTCTGGGGCTGGGGTCTAAGCACCCCATAAACTGCGCCCTTACTGGCGCCGGGATCCCCACGCTACTGTGGGTCTCCTATGAGGCCTCCTCCATCCCCTTATAGCCTCACCCAAACCACCGGTTGGTTTAACAAACAGCAACACAAACTTGAGCCTCCTGGCTATAACTCAAACATAAGCCGCCTGGCTATAACAACATTGCTCCACTCAGGTCAAGCTGTACCTGCTGTTAGGCTTCTACTCACATCATGGCTTAGGGAGCTCCTGCCTCTCTGGCTGCTGGCAGGGAACTGCCCCTGGCCTCAGCTCCCTGGGTTTATAAAGGGAGCCAGGCCCAGCCCCTTCTGGTCAGCTGGCCTTCATTGGTTGTCCTGGCAACCCCCAGCTGGGTTCCTTAGTCACTGCTAGGGCTCCTTCCTTAGCAGCTTTTCACCTCTTCAGGCACAGGGCACCTCAGTGCTCTGTGACAGGGGCCCAATCTGGCCTGCAGACTACCTCACTCATCTGACCTGTTGGGCCAAAAAATTGAATCCCCCGGCACAGGGGATCCTTCAGTGGCATGTGGCAGCTAGTCAAAGGTTATGAGAGGGAGAAAGGAGGGCAGGAATGTGACTTTCTTGCACCCCACCAATCTCCAGCTGCTGTACTGGTCTCACTGGGCCAGTAACTAATGTTATCTTTCGAAGAAAAAAGGGATAGGTTTTGTTTTTTTGAATGAGAACAACACAAACTATGTTGAACTATGTTAAATAAATTTGCTTCTAGGTCACCAGCAGAAAGGAGAGCTTCCTGTACTCAAACAAAAAGAACTTTAGTCTTAACTATGTTTAATCAATAACCTATTTTCATCCCTGCAGTATTATCCATTCATTATCAGCTTTCCAAACAAAAATCTGAAACACAGGAATCCAGTATCAACTATCACTCTTCTCTTTCACTTAGCCTTTCCACTGGATTTAACTGACCTCCAGTGATACTTCACCTCTTTGTGGTACATTATTCATATATGAATAATGAACTATGGCTTCAATATTGAATTTCTTTAGGATATATACTTCTCATATAATTAAACGCTTTTCTCTTTATTACTTGATCTGAGAGCCTTATTTAGTCACTGACAACATAAAAACGTTCTTAATCGACTATTGTATATCCACTCATTAAGTTTTTCCCTCCTGTAAATACATACTTGGTCTTTGAATCTATATCATTGGGGGGGGGGGGGGGGGGGAGGAGGTGAAATTGTGCACTGCTCTCAACCTTCACAATGTTCTTTGTTTAATTATTTCTCATGTTTGTCTACATAACTTGAGAATACAATGGAAGCAACTGATTTTAGGTGAGCACAAAGAAGATTATTTGCTGCTGATTTAGCTTTGTTGTATATTTGATTTTGAGCCTTGCACCAATTGCATTGCTGAGCATATATGACATGATGTCATACTGAGCTGCTGACAACTGTAATTGTGTACCATCATGTTTTCATCAAGAGCATTCAGGCATCATTTACAGTGGCACAGGTCAAGAGTAACTCCACTGATTTACTTGAGTTACTCTGGACAGAGATGGATCCAGGATTTAGCAAGTGTAGGTGTGGGAGGAGCCACCCATACTGCAGGGGTGTGGACAGGGTAAATCTGGAGCCTCCAGGGACATTTTTAAGTCCCCAGAGCACATAAGAATTCCCTTCCCTTTTGCGCTTAGAGACATGTCCCCTTTAGTCCCCTTCCTCCCCTCTACTGCCTTCTGCTACTGCTTTCCCCACTGTCCAAGTGTGCAGGAAGCTTCAAAGCCCCTTCTGCCCCTGCTATGGAGAAACTGGACTCAGATGGGAGAGTGACCCTAGTAGTAGTGGAGATGGATAAGGGAGGGTTCCCCCCCCTGCCCAGTCTCCCAGGGAGCAGGTATGGGAAGGAGGTACCCCCTTGCTCATTTGCTGCTTTCACTGTTCCCAGCTGAGCCCAGCCTAGCCTAGCCTTGCTGGAGGGGACAGAAATAGCTTTCCAGCTTCCCACATCCACAGGGTAGCGGGAAAAGCAATAGCAGCAGGTGGAGAAGGGGAGGAAGGGCAGTGCCTCTGAGCAACAGGTGGGGGAGCGAGTGGCAGTGCCAGAGCAAGGGGTGGGGAGGTGAGAGTGGGGTGACCACCCTAGGTGCCGAAGCAAAGGGGCACTAACAGGTGCTGCCTGGCCGGGGCGTGGATGGAGCCACGAGTAGCTTGTCTGGGGGAGTGTGGGGGTGAGGGGAGGGCAGTTCCTACTGCTGCATGCACTCCTGGACAAGTATGAGGGGCATGTGCCCCCCAGATCTGTGTGCGGGGCAAGAGCGGGCTGCTGCTGTGGGCTTTGCTCTGGGTGCCAAACTTTGTTACAACAGCAGTAGGGAGGGGACATGCCTTTGATCATGGAGGGAAAGGAGGGGGAGTCTTATGTGCTTTGGGGACTTTAAAAAAGTCTCCCTGGGTATGATCCAATCCAAAAGGGGGTGCAGCCACATCACTGCACCCCCTTTGGATCCATCCCTGACTCTGGACGGGCAACAGTGTAAATGAAGGCAGAATCTGATCTTGAGGCTCAGTCTTCAGGGCTATGTACAGACTTTGAAAAAGCCAAGGCAGAATCGAACTAAATTATATGGTTTTCTGTTAGCAGCATAGTTTAGACTGGTAATGAACAGAACACACATTTGCCCTTTGGTGGGGAGGGGAAGGGGGGGGCGCAAATCTTAGTCTAGGTCTCACAATTTTTAAACCAGTCTATGTGTGCTGAACCTCTGTTCTGTTATGGGTATGGACCAATTTGTGGTCACTTATATTGGTAAAAGTGTAATGTCTGTACTTGGCATAACAGAAGTACAGTCTCTTCAGGAAGCATTGACTTGTGGAAGTGAAGGCTCTTGGGGGTTAGAGGATAGATTGCTCAAACTTGATTATTAAAAAAATAATTTCAGAATGAAGAGCAGATATGTTCTTCAAGTTGGTAGAGAGAAACATACCACTGTTACCAGACTTTATTCTGACTTCTGAACTTTTAATAAATGTATCTGAATCCATAAAAAAGAATAACCCATGTATACAATATATTTAAATATATAACATATATATTAAAAAAGCAACATAAAACTTTTAAGCCCTGGAGAAATGTTTAACTGATAAAAGCACTAGCCTTTCTACTTTCAGCTTGAGCTATGAGTGAAATGGTTATATTTATAATACATGTACATTGTCTTCTGGGGAAAATAAGAATGTTAAGGCACCAGGGAATACTAAGAAGCATACTCCCCCGAACGGTTATTCCCATGAGTCTTGTTAAATTGTAAATGAATAGTATTCTACTTGTCAGAAAAAATAAGTACAGAATGTCTCAGGAATTTTGTGGCTATAGACTCAAAGGGAAAGGAGTAAGAAAAAGCAGACAGGGTAATAGCTCACAAATGAAGGGAAATGAAAAGAAAAGAAATGGAGACATACAAGCACTGACTGACTGACTAAAATCAGATATCACAAATCCACTAAGGAGAATGAAGTAAACCTAATGTTCAGAAATGGGCTATTTCCTAGGGAGGTAGGAAAAGAGAATATATAACAAGCAAGAGAAGGAAAAGAAGAGAGAGAGCATGTTGGACTGGAGGTAAGTGGGAGAAGAAAATGGACAGAGAAGGGGAGGTCAAAGGAATCACACTGATGATGCCCATACTGAGGGAGGCAAGGAGCAAATCAAAGCAACAGACCTTTTAGCAATCTACCAAAACTTAACCGGTCCACTGCAGAACAATTTACTGACCTCTAGGTTTGGTTCCTCTTCCTTTTCTTGACTAACATCCTTGTATAGCTCCTGCTTATTTCTTGCTTGCTCTTTTTGTATTATAATCGCCTCCTCCACAAAACACTCTATATTTGGTGTTTCTTCTTTCAAAACATCTTTCTGGTAAATAAAAAGAAAATGCAGTGAATGCCTGCACAATATATAGCGACCTGGCAATTAGATGGCCTTCTTAGACCTTGAACACAGAGAAAAAAAGAAACTTTTGCAACATATCTATAAACTGTTGCATTTAATGTTGTTATGACTTCATTTACATGAGTTGCTGACTTCCTGGTCATTACTGTGCAGTCATTTAGTAATTGTATAAACAAATATTAAATGACTGCGCAGTAACTGGAGTTACTGCACAGTTGTGCAAACAAATGGCTTTTTCGTGACACTGACTGTGCAGTAGCCTGAGACTACTGTGCAGTAGCATTGTATCATGCCTTCTGCCATGCAATGCTACTGTGCAGAAATCACAGGCTACTGTGCAGTCAGCATCTCTTGTAGACATGGCCACTGGCAAAGCCTGGTTTGTCCGTTTCACAATAAGTATAGACCAAATTTTTCTAGGTGAGGGAAGTTTTACTAGGACAGGGAAATTACAGGCAGCACAACTATGTAAGGACTTAGGGGTTGACAACCTATGTCCAGTGAAATTTGGCCCATGCAGCCATTGGATCTGGCCCCTGGATATGGAGTTTCAGGAGTGTTTGGTGGTGGGAGGCTTCAAAGGCATTTGGTGTTGGGGGGCCTACTCCCATGCCAGAATGGGGAGAAGTGGTGGTGGCAATGCCTACTGCCTACCCCCTCTGACTCAAGCCCCTGGTCTGAAAAGGTGGCTAATTGCTGACCTAAACTGTTTGTCAAGGAAGCTGGGATATATCAAAGAATCTTCCTAGAGACAGGGGCAGCAAAAAGAACAGAAAGCAGAAAGAAAGCAGAACTATTAGTAAGAAAGGGTAAACAAAGAAAAGTATAAATTTTAGGAAGCTTGTTCTAAGGAGAAAAGAATCATTAATGACTCTATAGGACATGCAGCATTTTTCCAAATGCCTAGAGTTGCAAAGAGGAAAGTTATAAATAATAGTAATGTAGAAATGTTATTTGACTTGACAAAGACTTGTTCTCTCTCTTTGCCCTGCCCTCTGTCTTTAAAGTACATGCTCATTATATTTGGAGTCCTCTATTAGAGGCGTGCGAAGCAGGCCCTATTAGATTTGGATTCAGATTCAGCCTGAATCTGGGAGAGTGATTTGATTCATTGATTTGGATCACTGTCCCCAGTTAGATTCGGCCAAAGCCGAATCTGAAGATTCAATGCTGATTCAGAGAATCAGTAATTCGGACATAGACACAGCTTTAAATGTTTTTTCTACATACCTTGAGGTACCAGCGTGGCTTGTGATTGCTGCGACGCTGGGGTTTATGGAGCGTCCCACAGGAGTGTGGGGGGCGTCCTCCATGTGCTTGGCAGCAAACCTGGAAGTGGACCGGAATTACATCTGGTCCATGTCTGCATCCACCAGGGAGCGTGTGGGGAACACCCCGTGCCCCCCTGGCTCAGAAATCAGCTGCAGGGGGACCCCAGGTGCCCCCCCAGACCCAGGAGGTACCAGTTGCCAAGCCAGGGAGGTGCAGGGGGGGCCCCCAGCATGCTCCCCGGTTGACCCAGAAGCAGATTGGAAATGCTTCTGGTCCACTTCTGAGTCTGCTGCCAAGTGCGCTGGGGACCCCTCCACACTTCTGTGGGATGCTCCATGCACCCCAGCATCATGAGCCACCTGCTACTTAGTGGTATGTAGAAAAAACATTTAAAGCTGTCTATGTCCGAATTGCCAAATCTTTCTGAATCTTTCTGAATTGATTCGGAGGGTTCTAATTTGATTCGGAGTGATTAAAGGCTCCTTTGATTCAACTTGGATTTGGAGATTTGGCCACCGAATCGGGCCAAATCTCCGCCAAATCGAATCAGGGACTGAAGCTTCACATAGCCCTATCCTCTATACTGTTTATAGCAATGATATATTATTTTCTATGGCTAATATACCTTTCTGGCCTATTTCATCATCTTAATACCTCTTAGAAGACTTCATAGCCCTTTGGAAAGGGCATGTGCATAACAAATTCAACTTGCCATTGTGCATTTTACAAAGTCATCATAAGTCCTTTAATAACTGGTATGCAGAAATCTGTAGTTTACTTTCTTAGAACATCAGTGTGCTGTACACCAAGGAAAATTACAAGCTCTTACCAGTATAGCCTTACATTTTTCATATCTCAGTGGAGTAAAGTTACAGAAATGAATAAGTTTGTCTAGTCAAAATGTTACCTTCTTATTTTTTCATTATAATTTCAATTACTTTAAAATATTATTTTATGTGGAAACATGTCAATGACTCTGTTCAGCCCTACTCTAGACTACAGTGCAGTTATCTTCTTCGAAAGCAGTTTATTTTTCTGTAAACAGAATCTCTCATATTTCCTTGAAAAATCTTGAAGTTCTCTTTATTTTTTAATATTTGGCAGCCACTTATAATCAGGAATAATAGTGCAATGTGATTTTTCCCTCAACTCATTGCTTTTTAAAAAGGGGAAAGTGAATTAAACTTCTTGGCAGAGAAACCTAAGATATATTTGTTCAAAACTTGATTGAATGACCCACTGATTAACAGATGCAAGCAGCAGCCAGTCAAAGATACTGGCTGCATCTACACAAGATACTTACTACACAGTAGTTCATTACTACTGCGCAGTAGCTCATTACTACTGTGCAATATTGTTGCCAGGCTAAACTATGATGCAACGCTATTGTGCAGTAGTAATGAGCTACAGCGCAGTCAGTGTCACTAGTCAACCATGCCTGGATGCTACTGAACAGTAATGCTGGCTACTGTGCAGTCATTTAGTACTTGGTTATGCAAATACTAAATGACTCAGCAGTAACAACTGCACAGTGGGTGTCTTAAGTAGACAGGCCTACTGTGGATGTATGACCAAAGCATTAGTTTAATATCTAAGACCACTACACCTCTCAAAAAAGAACATCTTTCCTTTGGTGGTGGTGAGTACAGGTATAAGAATAACCATCTCTCTGTTTCAAGAAGTTTTACCTCTGGCACTATTCTTGCTGCCCTGCCATGGGGTTTCACATAACCGGAATTTTTACATAACCAGCAATCCCCTTACCACATGGATGCTGGATAACAGAGATTTTACTGTAATAAGTTCTTTTTTATGCAATAGGGGAGTGTTTATATGTGTCTTAGGGTGACGGCACACTCTAATTAGAGCAGCTTCAAGACCCACTCTAATTAAAGCACCCATAGCATCTTGTATATTCAGCATCCTGTGCTTCAACATGGCGGCAGGGGCCCTTTAACTAAAGCTCATAAAACAAGCTGTAGTTAAAGTGCCCCTGCTGCCATTTTGAAGCATGGGGATGCTGAAGCAGACTCAACTAATTGAGCCTGCTCTGATGTGTTGTAATTACAGTGTATGGGAGCAGTATCCCCACATATTGGAGACTTTGGTGCAGTTACAGGGCTGGGAATGAAAATCAGTTGACTGTTGGTTTTATCCTGGTGACTGCACTAGAGCTGGCTGAAGCCTCCGGTGTGATCCCAGGTCTGACACTGTGCATAAGCTGTTCACGTTGTGAATGTAGTTGGCATTACCGTGTGACTGATCAGTAGGGCTGTGCGAAGCTTTGGGTGCTGATTCGATTCAGAGGTGATCTGGCCCGATTCAGCAGCTGAATATCGAAATCCAAATCTAATCAGGAGACCAATAAAAAGGTCCAAATTGATTCAAAGCTCTCTGAAACAATTCAGAAAAAATTTGGAGAGATTTGGAGATTTGGGCAGTCCCCGCTTGCCATCGCAGGGAGCTGGACCCACACTCCATGCCGGTAAGTAAGGAGTGAGAAGGTGGGGCCCATTTCCTGCCTGCTCCCCCCAAGCTCTTAAAAAAAAAAAAAAAAAAAAAAAAAAAGCCCCACTCCTGCCATCCAGTGATCTCTGCTGCCCCCAACTGTCCCACACTTTGTGGGGGCCCCATCCCTCACCCACTCTCCCAGCCCTGTCAGTGGCTGCCCTGCCTGGCCCCAGTGTCCCAGCTCTTAAAAAAAAATCCCTGCACTCACCAGCTGCTGCAGCAGCTGTTGGGGCTTCTGGGGGCCTCTGGCAGAGTCCCCCATGTAGCACAAGGCAGCGCCTGTGAGTGTGGGGCCTTTTTGCTTTTTTTTTTTTTTTTTTTAAAGAGCGGGGCCCGGGGGGCCGGGGCCCCCAGCCATTGAAGGGGCTGGGAGAGTGGGTGGGGGACAGGGCCTATTTGATTCGGAGGTTTGGTCGATTTGGCAGCGGCTGAATCTCCGAATCAGATTCGGCTGAATCTATTTGGGACAGTGATTTGAATCACCAAATCAAATCACTGTCCCCTGAATCAGCTGAATCCAAATCCGAACTGAATACTAGTTGCTTTGTACAGGCCTGCTGCTCAGCGTATATTCTAACTTTAACACTTTAACTTTAACACATGCTAAATGGCTGTGCAACAAGGCCCTTAGGGTGGTGTCACATGTTCACTTGCAACAGATGCAAATCATTAGAATGTAGTGATCTATTAAAATTAGAGTGTATTAGAAGGTAACCCAAAGGAACAACTTTACAAGGCAATGAGGGCATTTAACATATACTTAACAGCTTGAATGTTTTAATCTACTTATATTTTAACTGTACTTAATAAGTAGGCCTGTGAGAAGCGGCTAGTATTCACTTTGGATTCGGCTGATTCAGGGCACAGCGATCCAATTCGGTGATTTGAATCACAGTCCTGAATCAATTCGGCCGAATCTCCAAATCATCCAGGCCCATCCCCCACCTGCTCCCAGTCCTGACAATGGCTGCCTTGCCTGCCCCAGCTCCCGGCACTTTGAAAAAAAAAAGCCCCGACTCACTGGGTGCTGCCTGGCGAGGGGGTGATCCCCGCTGCCCCCTGCACTGCCCCACACTGCAGAGGGGGCTCTGCATGAGCCCCCCAATACCTCCTTGCTCCCCCAGGCTCCCCCCATGGCTGCCCCGCCCACCCCAGCTCTGGGCCTTTAAGAAAAAAAATTAGAAAAAGTCTCAACTCACTGTTCCTGCCTGGTGAGGGGTGATCCCCGCTACCCCCCACTGCCCCATGTCATGTGGGGGGCTCTTCCATGAGCTCTCCAAAGCCCCAAGGCTGCTGAAGGAGCGGTGGGGGTCAGAGGGGCTGGGGGAGCAAGCAGGGGATGGGGCCTGGCAGGGGTCCCCCCATGGTCCCTTCCCCTGCCCCTACTTACCAGTTCTGAGTCTGGCTGCAGCTCCCTGATGCAGCGGATAGGGACTGTCCGAATCATCAAAGCTCTCTGAATCTTTTCCGAAGATTCAGAGACCTTCGAATCAATTCCAACCTTTTTACTGGTCCCCTGATTCAATTCAGATTTGGAGATTTGGCCACTGAATCGGGCCGAATCTCCTCTGAATCAAATCACCACCTGAAGCTTTACACAGCCCTAATAATAAGTATTAAGTTGAATGTGTGATGCCACTATGACTACTCTGGCCTTCAAGCCATGCATGCCCTCTACAGCAGCCTGAGAAAAGAGAGAGAAAAAATATAAAAATATATGTACATTTATGAATGCATAGTAACATTTGTACTGTGTTTAGAAGAAAAACAGGAAAGAAAGAAAACCATGTAATGGAGTGAAAATGTGGTTAGCATTTATTAAGCATAAAAAAGGGATGCTTGTCCTCAGACAGTTTTGAGGAAGTTTCCAACTTTTTAAAAATAGCTATATAAGGGGGTGGGGAGGAGGGTACCTAGGAGGAATCAACTTTCTTTTAAAATACATTTATAAAATATTTATAAAATGCTAAATGCATATCTATTTGCCTTTTTCCATGAGAAAAAAATATTTGAAATTGGTTAACGCCCTCTGAAAAGGCTTCATGCAAATTAAGAGGCAAATACTTTTATACTGAGAAACAACATAATAAACTCAATTAAATGCACCTTAACTTCAGAAATGATTACCTCCCAATAATATCTAAACCAGTGGTGGGCAAAATGCGGCCCATGGGCCAGATACAGCCTGCTAAGCCATTCTATGTGGCCCACGGGACCCCTAAAAAATTTAGAAAATTAATATTCATCTGCCCCTGGCTGCCTGTCATGCAGCCCTTGATGGCTTGCCAAAACTCAGTAAGTAGCCCTCCACCTGAAATAATTGCCCACCCTTGTAATTAAGAAGTTTAGACATCTGAATGCTATACCTCAGAGGGAATATTGAGTTACAGAATGTGGAGAGAGGAACAGAGAACTATCCGTCCAGTATTCTGGCTCTGGAGAATTGAACAAATAAATTAAAGCCAAAGATAAACTCGAGAATAAGCTGAGCAGACTGCCAGCTTGGAAGACAAGTAAGTTATTAAGATTCCCCATGCAACTCTCCATTAAAGAGTTATGCTATGAAGTGCATTTCACTGAGTGCTAGTTAACACTAAGACCCAGTATTACATTTCCTCACAAACATTCAGAACCACAGTTATCAGAATATGTGGAAGGGAACAGTTAAAGGATCCAGCTGGTTCTCCCCCCACATACTCCCTTATCACTCAGCATCACCCCCACAACTTTAATATTGCCCCTTAAATTAATAAAAAATACCTGCAAATTCAAAATAAAAGAATTATTAGATTTTTTTAAATCCCATTTTTCCAAGGATTTTTAAGGCATCTAGTTTAAATTGAGTCAATATATAAGTTCTGCAGGAATAAAGTTTTGTTCTGATGGATATTGTGGGGATTTTGTCAATCAGAATTTAGCTACTTTGCAGAAGATGCAGGAAGAGAAGAGGAGACATGTCTATTTTGAAAGTCCTAATTCCAATTTATATGAAGGAATGTTTACATACTGCTGGCAGAGAAAGATGGCACATAATGCAAATAAGAATAAGGCCCTAAAGCTTTCAAGAACTTAAAGTTCTATATCTAGCTCTTTGTGATTACTTGGATCAAAGTTTTTGCTTTTTTTTGTTCCTTTCTAAATCCTCAGTCCTGTATCCCTGCTTTCTGCTGTTCTCTGCAATCCCTTCTATTCCTTATCCATCTTCTATATTCTTCTGATCTGCTTTCCATCTCTTAGTGCCTTCTTTATCACTTTCTGTTTCATGACATGGTAGAACAAATGTGTCCCACCTAGTCCCTTGTATCTCCTGGCCATGTCTCTCCATGGTCCAATGCTTTCCTGTCTTAAAGACTCTTGTCTATTCATATTCCCTTCCTTCTGACCCAAAATCTATACCTGGAATCTGCAGTGGGCCAATTAATATCGATGAGCCTTTTAAGGAATGTTTAAATATTCTTCAGTTTACATATAGAAATAACTGTAAAGTGTGGTCCAGACTGTAGACAAAAAAAAAGCAAACAGGAAAACAAGAACAAGGCACATTATTTCCAGCAGGCCTTTCTTTTCCATGGTGTAATAGGGACAAGTTCAAGAGCAGGGTTCTCTTTAGCTTAGTACAAAAACAAATGGAATATCAAACAAATCTTAATTGAAAAGTTTTCTGAGCAATATACCAGTAGTAAGATAATTATCATGATAGCATGATATATATTCTAAATATCTTAACTCTGTTTTTGATAATCCCCAAAGTTTGCATTAAAAAATTGTCTACCCTTAAATATGATGTTAGTGATTAATCTTTTCTGGCATAATTTGGATTAAAATAGGATAATAGATAAGTTAAGAGAGAGCTTAAAGAGCCAGAGGACTGTTGGGTATGGTTAAAATTAGTAATAAAGAACATCCCATTTGTTTTGTTATAAGGACAGAAAAAATATTAAGAGAGACGTGTTTTTCTTGGAAACATTGAAACTAAATGGTATCTCATCTCCCTCAAGTTCCACTGCAATTCCTTGCCATAAAATACTGATAAAAGTATTGATAGACCTAGTTTTAAACAGCTGTCATATACATTTCATTACCTCAATCTCTCTTTCAAGTTGTTTCAAAGAGTTACATAGTTCATTGATGGAATCAAGAACTTCTTCATGCTTTGCTACCACTTTTTCCACATACTTACTTCCCTCTTCAAAACCTGCAGGTAGAAAACATGACAATAAATACAATCCTGTATCAGAGAAAAGTATTTTTAAAAATTGGGTTTTTCTCTCTATTCTATTTTGTAGCAGTAGTTTTGCTGTATCATGTTGCCTCTATGGAGCTGGACACACACAATTTTTGCCATGTCATTTGGATGGGATTTCCCTGGACTAAGTAATGTTACTGACCTGTTGGGAATAATTTTAAAGGGACAGTGGCCCCCATAAACTCCCCTGAGCTCACCGCTCTGTTCTTTAGCCAAGAAACAGTTAAAATTCCAAAAACTTTGCTGAGCTTCCTGTCAAAAGTATAAAATTAGTTAAGGAGATAAATAGATTTTTCCGACATAAAAGTAAAGGAACCTTCCACTTGACTGATATCAGGAGTTTCTCACAGAACCAATCATGCATTAGATCAGCATAAAATTATCAGTACTGCAAAAGAATAAGGGCTGCTGCTGTCTTCCTAGCGTAATGTTCCATACTGAAAAAACCCTCTGTGATTAAAAGTATATTAAATATATAAGCCTACAGTCTTGCTTTGATAGGATTTTATCAGATTTCATTAAGCAGCTCAAGGTTGGAGAGATGGCTTACTCCACCTTTGGGAGTTTACTCTCCATCTCATAGATTATCAAGCAAATGATGATTAGATTGCCTGAATGAGCAAAGACTGGAAACAATGAGTGACATCATTGTACATTTTCCCCCATCATCAAGGTATCTGCTGTGGGTTGTCCTTTACTTCTGGAAATGCTGTCCCATTATACACTTAGAGTATGTCTACATTGTGATCCCAGTGCTGGCGGAGGGCAAAAGCGGGGAGGGCAGACAGCTCTCAAGCAAGCAGTACTCATCAGCTCCCACTCACAAGCACCAAATCAGGAAATGTAGCTGTGAAGCCACCTCCTGCCACAGCAGCAGCGAGGAAAGCCCCAAGAGCAGGTGTTTCCAGCAGCACCAGGAATGTGAAGGGGGCCTTTCACTTAGGTTTCTCAGCTCCCAGGGCTTAAATCACAGTAAATATTATTTGACAGACTGGGTTTCAAGTTAATTGACTGCATGGATAATTACCTCAAGGACATATTTTAAAGGATCTTTCAACTGTGTGCTCATACTATTTATGTATGCAGAGTTTTCACAAATACATAAATAAGTGAGCAAAGTATGACACATTCCCCTTCACTCCAGACCCTAAGGGCTTGGTGGAGAAGCCGCCATTCATGTCAGTGCTGTTCAGCGGGGCTCTTGTGAGGGAGCAACTGCATGTGCTCTATCCAGATCTTAAGCCATTGGCCTCATTTTAGAGCTTGTGTAAATACAGCAAGTCACACAAGTATGCAGAGCAAAATCAAGAGGAGAACTAAAATCTAATGAATACAAGTCCCAATGCTTAAACATTAGCCAACATTCTTCACTTTATCAAAATAAATGTACCCAAATATTTACAGAGCAACCAATAACTATGAACATGAAATACAGAAAAATTAGCTTAACATTAGTTAAAACTACATTAGGGTAAACTATTCATTCATCTTTGAGTGATATAGCTGTAGTACAATTCAGCTTCAGAGACTTTCCTGTTATGAACCATAAAGTCTTAATTCAAAGATTATAAATGTTTCTAGGACATTTACATTTAGATTTCAAGATGAATTCAGATGACAAGACTGAAAAGCACCTGTCTGGATTTTCAGCGTTTATTTCTTGATATTTCCTCAAACTTTAGTTCTGCACTGTTTCACCTCTCTCATGTTAAGTACAACGGATATTTCTAGAACAAGTGCTCTGTCAATAGCTTAAAGCAGTGCTTGATTTTAACCTTGTGGGATCTTCTTTTTAAATCAATAAATGTAGGTATTAAACAGTCCCCTGTTACATCCTGCCCCAACCTGTTCAATCAGTATTTGTTCTATACCACATCCCCACACACCTTAAGGGAGTTCTCACCATATAAACGTTTAGCAAGGTCAGTAAACTGCTGAATTCTTTCCTCTTGTTGGGGCACTGTAGGCTGGATAAATTTATTAAATTGCTTGTAGAGAATTTCTACTGCTTCTTGGGTTTTACACTCTGCAGAATACTTTCCAACTCTAATGACTGTAGCACTTGCTTCTTCATACCAATACTGACACTGATATGTATTAAAAAGGGGAAAAAGCATTTAAAAAAGATTCAACAAAGCTTCATAAATGAAACAATGATGGGCAATTAGGATTCTTGTGCAGTTGGTTTGCCCTATTACAGTGTGTTTTTGAGTAAAAGCAGTAAGGAGGCTCAGGGACATATAGCACTGCTCAGAATAACCATGAAGAATGTCAGTTCATTAGCAATATTCTTACAACCAAGAGCTGTCACTTTTTTTGTTAAATCACAGCTGTACTCCATATCCACACTCTTCTTTTAGAACTAAGCTTATGTTCCCGTCTAGTTACTACTTCTGGATATGCAATTTTGCCTTGAGAAGCAAGCCTGAATTAACTCCACAGATTTCAAAGCGTGACCTCGGTTTCAGCTACACAATCCTATGTCATATGTGATTTTGCATACAATAGCATAGAAAATTAGAGTAAGATTTTCTGGGAATCTCTCTCTTGATATCAGTGGAGCTTAGAGAGCACCCTGAGTAAACAATTTAGTGTGAAGTGCCCCAGGTGCAATGAAACATGGGGTTATCTGGTTTGGATCTGAACTGCTATCAAGAGTAAAATACTAAAGGCTTTTTTCATTAAAACCAGTACTTGCAACTCCATACATGCCAGGAAAGAAAAATGTCTTGAGCAAGATGGTACTATTTTACAATTACTTTTCAGAATAAAAATAATATTTTAATGTTTAGACTCTTTCCACCCTCTTTCAAAATCAGGGGTGGGGAAGTTAAAAATGTAAATGCACAGCTGTTGCCATGCTATTCTCCTAATCAGAGATGAAAAGGAACATTTCATTTTCCTCACAAGATCATTGGACAATAAAGAAACTGTTTAGCCTAAAGTCTAACATTTTGATCTCTCATTAGTGGTAGTTACTAGTCATGCATTTAAAGTGCAATGGAGAACTGAAAAAACTTGATTACTAAAAATAAACAATGATGACAGGAATGTGCTTGACTCACAGTAGAGGCACCTACACAATGTGACAAGAGACAAAATGCTGCTAGGAACTAGACTTCCAAAATCTTTAGCAGCAATGTATTAAGCAGCTCTTAATCATTTGAAAATGTTAGAATACTCCAAAAGCATAGAAAATGAAATGCTACTACAGGAGTAAAAAATCATCTATTTAAGTGGTTAGGAATGTACAAGGATTATCTATTTTATTTCTACGTATCTGGATTTTTTTTAAAGGATTTCATTCTCCTGCTTTACATACCAGACCGACACGTCTCACAGACAGCTAGCAATGAAGGGCTTGTGATGATTTGGCACTTGAGATTTAACAGTGAGCACATAATGTTGTGTGGGACTTTTTGTGAGACTCAAAATACCTTTGTACTCCAATTTATATTCCAGGATATGCTGAGTCACTGTGAACAGTACTTAAAGATGGAAACTTTGGGTAGAATTATATTTCATTTTTTGCAGCTAAATGTCAGTTTTCTAGTCACATAAGTGGTGTTTTTGGCACTTATGCACAGGTTGTACTAGCCTACCGAAAGAACATGCTCAGTCTATACACACAGTTTATGCAGCCACAGTGCAGAGGTAATATAATCACAATCTGTGCATAGGTACCAAGGGGCCATTTACATGGTTGGAAAGCTGCCATTTAGCAAGACAAGGGGAAACAGAGTTCTGCCATTTCTTTTTAAATGTAGCAGGGAGGAGACAGTGACATTCATGAACCTAAGCTACATAGGAAACTGGTAATTTACTGTTTCATATCCAGTAAATACAGGCTAAGAGAAAGAGAAAGGTCTGGGAGTCATTGGATAGTTCTACTAGAAAAACACTTGCTAAATCTGTTTATCTGAATCTTTAGGGGTCTATCTTGGGACAGTTCACATTGTCAGTTGCAGTGGGAGAGTCTACACATGATATTAATGTGCCATGATAAACTCTGGTGCATTCTGAGGGAGCCAGCTGCTCCCAGGCACAGTGTCTTCATGTGAACCTGGGATAGTCCAGGGCACACACAAAGACACTGTGCCTGGGAGCAGCTGACCCAGAGCAGGGGGTCCGGTGGGTTGTGGCATCGGGAGGTGTCAGGGTTGGCTGGGGCATGAGGGTGCTACGGTGCAGGGAGCCCCTGCACTGTAGCACCCTCATGCCTCAGCTAGCCTCAGTCACAGTTTACACATGTGTTGCAGCACATGTAAGTACTCTGCTGGAAGATAGTGCTTGTCTCAGGTAACACTATCCTATGGTGCAGTTAATTAGTTTACTGTGCCCTAATATGGGCACACATATAGACTGTGTTGCTTTACTGTGGAGCTAATTAGTTAACTAGTAAAAGTGCACGTGTAGATGTGCCCAGTGTGGTTCTTTGTAGATGCTAAGCATGGCAACAATGAAGTCTACTCTTCTTAAAATGCTGCTTTAGATTCTGTGCCTGAAAGCTCATCTAATATCTCTCCCAACTATAAAGTTGGTCCAATAAAAGATATAACCTCATATCAAATGTTGCTTCTTGAATATTCCCTGGATCACCTTGGCTGTAACAATGATACTACAGCAGTTCTACATCATTTTCTTAGATTGCAGCTGCTGCCTACTAGCCAATTCCATGAAAACAAGCAAAACATCATATTGGGGGGAAGGGGAGGACACATTAAAGCAATCTCAGGGTGATATGCATAATGTTTAATTGCCCTACCCTTAACTCTGTCCCTGTTGCACAACCCTTTGCTTTGTGACTTGGGAGCAGATTCCAGAGTTTATCTGCATAAGGCAGCCCATAAGCCATCTCTTGGAACTTATGTCTGGCAAACTCAGACAAACATCAGTGACAACCAGCCATATTGGTTGGAATATAGTCCCTTCCTGCCACAATGCAGGAACTTGTGCATGAACCCAAAGGACCTATGCTTTAATCCAGCCCCAATACTTTAATCCTTTTATTTGGCATCAGAGCATTAACAAAGGAAAAAGAGAATAGCTTCAAAATTACTACAGCAGAGCATCAATTATTTGGAAACTATTTATCAGAGCTATTCCTTAAGTGAATGCTGGAAGTGCCATTAACCTTACGTGGTATGTGAGAGCAGTAGCATCTGAAAGAAAAGAACTGTTGTAATGACTGTGGAAAAAAAGGCGAATTTGTTAACAAATTTGCTTTTTGTATGCTTGCTTTGTATGAAAAAAATGATTTTACAAGTTGGTTTTGGTCCCTGTTAGTTCAGATAGTTGGTGCTCTGCTGTCCTTTGAAGAAGGAATATAACAAAGGTTGACTTGACTGATATAGAAGAATGCTTTTTCCTAATCCCAATGATGGCCCTTTATCAGAATTACAAAGGGGATGTACAGTCTGATTAGTACCTCTTCCATTAGCTGTTGTAGATGCTCCATCAGATCCAAATTTTGTTTGTAATCTTCCACAACTCTGCCAAACTCATTCAGCTGTTTCTGTAACTCTCTGACTGTCTCCATGAGGACACCAACATTACCATCAGGCTGATTTACTACACAGCTAGTGGTTTTCTTTTCTAAATTATCCGCCTTCTTTCTCAGAATCTGTTTTGAAAGGTGCAATATTGTTAAGAATTATAATTAAAAGGGCATGCTTATTTTTAAAAATGAAACATCAAAACCTCATGGCAAAACTTGTAAATTTACCTTCTTGATGTGTTATCTAAAAATTACTGTTAAGAACACCATACATTTTGTATATAGGAATTCACTATGTTTATTAAAGTCAATGAAAAATGGCCATGCCTACCTAAAGACAGAATTGAACTCAATATTTTCAGTTTAAAAGAAATACACCTCACTAGATCCATTACTTAAACTTGAATAGAAGGATCTAAACAGCATCCGAAAAAAGCCCTAAGAAAGGTGTCTAAGAAACAGAATCTCATTTTGACTAAACACAAGTTAATTTTTAAAGCACATTCAATTAAATTCTACAATATCAATTTCAAGATATTGGTCAAGAATCTGTTGTTAGTAAGAGCAGTTCAAATCTGGATGAACTCCAATCAGCTGTAGCTCTGAAAAGCTTTATATATACACTGTACAAATGGTGTCAACCTCTCTTAACTCTGTCAAAAACACTATGTTGTTACACATAGCTTTGAAGATCAGAAGGCAGCATGGTGGTCACTAGGCCTGTACGAAGCAGCTAGTATTCGCTTTGGATTTGGATGATTTGAGGGACAGTGATTTGATTTGGTGATTCAAACCACTATCCTGATTAAATTTGGCCAAATCCGATTCAGAGGTTCAGCTACTGCCGAATCAGCCAAATCTCCAAATCAAACAGGCCCCATTCTCCACCGGCTCTCACAGCCCCATCAATGGCTGTCCCGCCTGGCCCCAGCGTCCTGGCTCTTAAAAAAAAAAAAAAAAAGCCCCACACTCACCAGCCTCTGCCAGGCAGGGTGGGCTGATCTCCGCTGCCCCCCCACTGCATGGGGGGGCTCTGCCATGAACCCCCAACCCCTGCCCACTCTCCCAGCCCCATCAATGGCTGCCCCACCTGGCCCTAGTGTCCCAGCACATTTTTTTTTTTTAAGCCCCATACTCACTGGCTGCTACCAGGCAGGGGGGTGATCCCTGCTGCTGCTCACTGTTCTGTGCTATGTGGGAGGCTTTGCCACAGCCTCCAGAAGCCCCAGTGACTACTGCAGCAGCTGGTGAGTGTAGAGCTTTTTTTTTTTTTTAAAAAAACTGGAATGCTGGGGCCCGGCAGGGCAGTCATTGACAGGGCTCCTCCAGCCCCCCCCAGCGCCCCTGTCCCCACCCACTACTTAGTGGTGAGTGAGGACTGCTCGAATCTCAGAGAGTTTCAAATCAATTCGGACCTTTTTATTGATCTTCTGATTCCATTTGGATTCAGAGATTCAGCTGCCAAACCAGGCCAAATCTCCTCTGAATCAAATCAGCACCCGAAGATTCACACAGCCCTACTGGTCATCCAGCTACTAGAGGGGAGGTAGAGGGGAAATGTCAGAGATGCAAAAGAAAGCTGAGGGGAAAGGGATGGTTTTACTGTATTTTCCATCTAGTCTGATCTTCTGTTAATAGAAATCATAGCATTTCAACTATTACTATTACCTGCATTTTTTCAGCATACATATCGACCTGCTGAATCTGTATTTTAAGTACTTTCAGATTTCGAGCTTTTTCAGTTTTCTTAGTATAATTAAATTTTAGGTTGTTGAATTTCTTTTTGAGATCTTTAAATGACTCTCTGAGCTGAAAGAAAGCATATTTATCAATAACAAGCAAAGGAACACATCTATAAATATTGCACTGATCAATAAATATCCATAATTTAAAAATCAGTCTGAACATTCAGATTTTCTTATACGGAATAAAAATATTGTGCATCATAAATCAACCTTGTGTCTCCCTTTCTTACACAGGCAAAACTACAAGATAATATTTCTTTTTAGTACTAGACAAATCTTTCTGAATGAATGTTAAAGAATATACATAAGCATGATTTATCAGAATCAGCATTCCTATTATGTTCAGTAAAAGTAGTCCTAAAGCACCATCAAATCTTCTTAAAATGCTGTTGTAGTATTTTTTTAATGGTTCAGTTAAAAAAAATAAAAATTATAATTAATAATTGCTTATTAATTACATAAAAATTAACAAAAACTAAAATGGGAAAATAGTGAAAGGCTGAATTTTTTTGAAAAATTCAACTCCTTACAGATTAAAGATTTCTGCTTTTATGAGAGTGTGTACAATATTTTTATTTTGATTAAATGATAAAGCAGATGCATAAACACCTTAAATGGCCTGATGCCATTACTGCAAACACACACACACACACGCACACGCACACGCACACACACACACACACACCCATCAGAGTAACTTTACTCATTTGAATAGTACCTATAAGGTCAGGGGAACAGGCTCGGTATTTAATGTGTTTGGGTTTTTCTATAAGGAGTCCATCAGCAGTTTCTCAAAAGCCAAGGAGTAATGAATACCTGTTTTGCAGCTACTATGTGCACAGTGGCTGCCCATCTATTATTATTATTCTTCACTAATGCCAATCCATCAAGGGACATATTTTTCATTTGCATTTCATCTAGCAGGATAACATTTCCTGCTAGGAAGTGATATCAGTAATGCATAGACAGATGGCATTGATTCAGTCTAATAGAAAGGAAAGGGATTCTACTAGTAACACTGTAATCTCCAATTAGTTTAAGTTGTTCATCTCTCCCAGGTACACAGAATAATAAAATTTATTTTAAACCACCATGACAATAGTCACAGGTGCAAGAATCTGTGTTTTGCAATAAAAAAACAAAATCTCCTTTAATATAGAGGAAAAACCCCAGGACAGATGCATGGATGAGTAAGAGTTTATTTTGGTTTACTTTCCTAGCTTATGCCCATACACTAGTGATCATTTATAAGGCCACAGTCCCTCTTCATAGCAGTATGGGTATGTGAAATGAGATCGCCTTGTTTCAGATATGGTGGCTCATGTGTCAAAGGTCTGCAGCTGCTGTCACTTTTCTCTTTTAGCTTTAGTGGAAAACCAGCTTAAGCTCAGAACCATACACTGGTCATATCAATGCATGCATACAACTCCTATTGGCATCAGTAACTATATGTTCTTATTAAGGGCAGTATACAGCTCTAAGGGTTTAACAGTAGGGAAATCAAACCATGTTTCAGTTTGTTGCCTGTTTAGTGCAGAATGCAATATGAAATGCTCAGGGAACTTTACCAGATGACTTCAACCCACTGGATTAATAGAACTTTGTCACTTTGGGATTTGTCCACGGTGTCACAATCATTATTTAAGCAGCTGTTCCTAACTATAGCTGGCCTGTCATAGGTGGGGAATGATGGTGGAGGAGGGGTATTGTCAGATGCCAATTACCAAGATTTATCGCACAAGAAGCACAAAACAACTGATAAAAGCAGGGCGTAAAGCTGATTGAACTCCATTTTTGTTACCAGGAAAGTTTGAGAAAAACAATTTAAAATCCTGTCAGACATTTCAGGAAGAAATTTAACGTGAAAAACTATCCAACCTTCCTTTTTTTCATTCTTACCTCAAGCCCTTTGTAGCACTGGTAATTGAAATAGGCAGTGAATGTGGGTGGCAGAAAAGAGATTTCCAAAGGGACAGAGAAAGAAGAAAGAAAAGAAAAGTAAAGCCAGCTGGGAAGTATAAGAGAAAAAAATGGTCAGGTTTTTAGCAATGGGGTGTGTAGGGGGCTAAGAGCTGTCCACTCCTACTGACTTCACTGAGAGCTGAGGGTGCTCAGCCCAAACTTTTCAGTATCTCTTCTGTAAGTGTATGAAAGGATAGGGAGGGTAGAGACTAAGTTCAAGGTGTATTGCCATTAGGATACAGATTATTTACAAGCATTCACTGATGGTTTGTAAACTTGCTCGTGAATGAGGCAGATTAAACTGTGAAAAGAATTCTACCATTTTTATTTTTATGTATAATATCTTAGCATAGGGCTAAATTGTTGGGTTACCGCAAGACCTGGGTAAGGGGCAGCACAGGGTTGCATTGTTCTAGAAGCAGACAAGGGACCATGGGTCTACATTATTGTCACAGATGTGACTGATGTGTAACGTAGACAGAACGTAGACAGAACTAACTGTAAATTGTCTACCTTATGTACTGGTACCTGCTTTTGAGAAAGTAAATTAGCCTGCTCTGAGCCCCATGCTGCCTTGGCTATGCTGTTACTAGTGGCAGGGGTAATGAGTTTAAAACTACTGTGGTTTCTGCACTACACAGTCAGTTCTCTTGCCACAGTGTAGTCATACCCTCAAGAAATATATCAGGCCCTGGTTCCCTCTTGCTTAGAAGGGAAGTAATTGCCTATACCTGGCATATCTTATTTCCTACCTTTGAATTAGCTGGAGGAACAAGACAGAGCTCTGCATATTCCTTTTCTCTGTACCCACCTTGAATAGAGAGAAAGGAGAAGCAAAGTGCAAGGCAGTCAAGGCGCTGCCCTACAGCTACAGGACTACAAGTCCAAGCCTGGTTCCAGACTTGCGCTAAAGGCTGCATCTAGTCCAACATACATATCTTTGTGCTTGCTTAAGATGCAAGGGTTGCCCAGTGAAATGCTGCCACCATCATTCCCTTGTATGTTATTGTCCTAACCATGCTTGTCTCGTGCTGTTCTGAGAAAGTAGTAATACCCTGCATGGGCTGTTTTCCTTCCAGGGCAGAGACTGGTGAGGTAGGCCAGAGGCAAAATAAAGATGCTCAAAGGCCTTTTAGAGGTATTCTTCATGCAGTATAATGTGTTAAAGAACACAAATTCACTTTTTAATTTTTGCAAGCCCTTAAAAAGAAAAAAAATGTCACTGTTTTGTCATTCAAGACCATTTTACATCTGGCTGTATACATCTGAGCATATAATAAATTTGTTACTAGCAGATCACAGACTACTAACTCATTATATCCGATTTGGATATGGTGTTTTTAAATACCAGTGAGGCCCCAATCCAGCAAGTGCATATGCATGTACTTGACTCATGCTCCGAATTGTGATGAGTGTTGAGCATATGCATACATGTTTACAGTAGGGGCGAAAAGTATTGCTCATAAAACATTATGAATTTAAACCTGAAATTTGGTGTTGTTGACTGGTGATCTGCAAATGATTAAACTACCTAGTTGCTATTTGCTTACTGCTTGATAGGCACTTACAACTGCTTCTTGCGACTGAAATGCAGAGTAAAATATTTATTTGCTTAGATCTGGTAGATGGTTTATTATGCATTATTTGATACATGTGTGCTTCCTTTTTAGAATAACATCAGACTTATTTTTGATATTTACTGAACATAAATAAAAAGTATTATTTGTAGTATTTTAAATTATTATGAAATAAGAAGAAAAGTATTTACTTTCTTGAACTAATTTACTGCCATAGATTTACTTGAGTTTGATGTAGCTTTAATTTAAAATGTTTTATGAGAAAAGTGGCAGTCAGTTAACACATATGCAGGAACAATTATCTAAGTGTTTGTTTAAGAAACATCATCTGTGCTAAGTTATAATAGAAATAGAACCTAATTAAAGAAATGTCATCAAAGGGGCAATTTAGTATTATTTTACTTATATTAAATTCAATATTCAATTAGTGGGGGTGACCGGCGTTAACCCAGTCAGTCAGGATAACTTTCTGAATTTAAAATAAAATAAATATCCATAATTTATACTCTAAGAAGATAACTTGCAATCATTTTTCAGGGATTTTACACAGCAAGAGTGGGGGCACAGGGCTTGTTATAAATTCACTGCCACTGATTTTATCTAGGTTTTGGGAGCTAAAGTCATGGGAGTAGTTCCTGTCTTACTCATGCTCTCTCTCCTGAAGAAATTCAAAGAGTAACTAAATATAATTCTACTTAAGAGGCATCACTGCAAACTCCTAGAAACACAGTATTGTGGTTGGAGGTCCACCTTGTCCAATACGCTGTCTCAAACCTGTTGAGTCTTAGCCGGCGAACTGGTTGGAAAATGTAGGCTTTTTGTGTTCATACAATCTTGAATTTTCAGTGAAATAGTGAGACCTGAAATATTCTCATTCATATTATTGCAACTCCTAGCAGGAGTTGTAACATATGTACTACAATGTTACAATTTTCTTCTACAGAATGAGCTCCCTGTTCATCTCCTTCTTCTCTTGTCAGTGTATCATGACAATTGCATAGCTGGGTTGTATCATAGAAAACTGAAGTCCAGCTGGAGAGTCTATCCATAGAGGGAAATGAGGGCCTGAGGCATTTAAACCACAATTCCCATGACACTATAGCAGTCATTCCAATTCAAAATATTTATGTTCGAAATATTTAGTTTTTCAGCAATTGACTTCTACTCCATTGCACTAGTTGCTGCTTAAACATACATCCAAATGAAGGACCTTGTCCCAAAGCTCATATGCTCTTAAGCTGGGTGCTCAGAACTGAAAATATCACAGCAGTATTTAAAGTGACATATGTATTGTTTTTAAAGCTATGAATTAACTGTGACCTACCACATAAATTTACTGTGTTGACTTAAAGAAAAGTGACCTAAAAAGGAAGACTAAAATGTACATTTTATTTTTTATAACATAGAATAAAACTTTAAATATTTCTGTTAAATATAAAAGATGGAAGTTATATTCAATATCCAAGACCTGTCTACCCTGAAAGATCCTATGGTGACTGGAGAATTGGTAAGATTACGGCTCTTTGTAAGATAGACTGCAAGACTTAAAGCAAAGGGACCTTATTCACACCGTTAAACCACCCCTTTATTTATTATTTATATTGGTTTGATTTTCTGTTTAACTTCTGTGCCAAATGAACATTTAGCTGAAAGGATTCTCTATTAAGGTGTAAAACCTCTTACAGTTTCAAATGTTCACAACACACATCTGAGGGCTCCAGAATTCCTTTAGGAAAACCAGGGGACCAGATTTGATATTCTGATTTCTAAAGTAAAAACTTACTAAATATTTTTTAGCAAAACCCTTTCTAGCCAACTTAGACTTCAGACAAAGCAAAAACCATATATAATGTCATTTAAAAATTAATTTGCACATCGCATTTGAACTCCTAACTATAATAAACTAAAAATTATTTTTGACAACATTGCAGCTATGTGACACAAAGTATGACTTTTCTTTGAAGATTTTCTTTAGATACCTACAAACCCATGTAACTGAACTGAACCAGATTTAGATAAAAGCTATGTTGAAGCTTCAGAACCAGAAAAGTGTAGCTGCTCCATTTCCACCTCTCTTTTTTGTGAAAAGCACATTACTGTCAGTTCAAGTCTTGATGTAGACTTGAACTAGAGAGACATAAGACTGTATATTTTTACTACTGGTAAGTGGATCAAGGACTGCTGCTGAGATGAAAATCATCATCACTACATTTGTGTGAGGCATCTCTATGGACTAACAACTAGTAACATATATTATAGCACACAACAACTTTTAGAAATTTAATCTGTTTTTCCCCCCTATCAAACCTCATTTATCTCTTCTTTAGTTGTGCAGTACTGGAAGTTGTGTGACAGCTCCTCTTCATATTTATCTGCTTTGGTGCTCCAGTTAATACTGTCATTCTCAAGTGTAGCCAGCTCCTGCTGTAGGTTCTTTACAGAAACATTAAGGCAGCACTAAAATGAAAGCAAGCAAGACAAACAAAGAAAAGGAAATTAATTTTGAGCTTCATTTATGTCCTATACAATATTGCCAACGTATAACTTCTAAGATACTGCATATTGTTTAAAATATGTAATACTCCATGCCTTATCATAGGTTTAATCAATTTAAAATACAATTTTCTCTAAGAAAGAATGTTTATTTGATCACAGGTAAAAGTAACCATTAGAACTGGATTAAGGCATTACCCCTAATTTATAATCAGGGGATACATATAGCTGCTACACTACAGGAACTGTCAGGAGAAGGAACTATGGCTCAGGGCCCTTCTAGACATTCAGGTAAAACTAAGACAGGATCCAATGCACAATCCACAGAATTGTGCCTCCTGCAATGCCACATGTCCATGGCAAGAGGCAAGATTGTGGGTTCCAGCATTTACCTTCACACCTTATCACACCTATCATACCTTATTGCTGGTGTACGGGGAGCCAAGGATCAGAATCCCAGACTTCCGCTGCCCCAACTCCCACTGCTGTGAGCCCCACAGCTGACAAAACTTCCATCTGTAGCAGTGCCCCATGGGCTGCTGTGGATGGGATTCCCACCAGCTGACAAGTCTCCCACCCATGGCAGCCCAAAGGATGGTGCTATGGCCAGCAGACCTCACAGTGCATGGTGCACCCCTGCAGTGTGGAGTCTCTATCAACTGACAGTCAGGTGATGGGGCTCCTAGTCATGGGGGCATAGCTATGCTACACATGCAAATAGGAGGGGCAGTCAGCCAAATCCAACCAATCACGTAGGTTCTTAACCTGTGTACAGGACCTTTACCTAATTCAGGAGGTATATGGTCCCACTAGGGGGAATGCCTTACTGGACCTGGTGTTGGCCACAGGGGATGACCTTGTAGGTGAGCTGATCCGTGGTCACTTTGGGGACAGTGACCATTAATTAATAGAATTCACCATATGGTGTAAGGTGGGTAAGATACCTAGTAGGGTGGAAGTGCTTGACTTTAGGAAGGCTAACTTCAGGGTGTTCAGGAGTTTAGTCAATGACACACTGCAGGATAGGAGTATTGGAGAGATGGGAGTCCAGGAAGGGTGGTCATTCCTAAAGGAAAAGGCCCTTAGGGCGCAGAGGGAAACTACAACTTTGTGAGGGAAAGGGGGCAAAACGGCCAAAAACCTCCTTGGCTAAACAGAGAAATCCGGGGAAGCCTAAGGGCAAAAAAAGAGGCATATAGGCAGTGAAAGCAGGGGGAAGCTACCAAGGAGGAGTATACCTACTTGGCCCACACTTGCAGGGAGGCAGTTAGAAGGGCCAAAGCAACCATGGAGCTGAGGCTCGCAATGAAAATTAAAGACAACAAAATGTCATTTTTTAGGTATGTAGGGACTAAAAGAAAGGCGCACGGCAGCATAGGACCCCAATGAATAAATAGGAGCAGTTAGTGATAGACAGGGGGGACAAAGCTGAGCTCTTCAATGTTTGCCTCAGCGTTTCTGAATAAGGGTCAAGACAAGTCCCCAAATGGGTTCTTAGATGGGCATCAGAGGGACACCAGTCCACCAACTATTGATGTTGACTTGGTACAGAGTCACTTGAACGGACTGGATGTGTTTAAGTCAGCAGACCCAGATGAGCTGCATCCCAGGGTACTGGAGGAAATGGCCGGTGTCATAGCAGAACCACTGACACAGATGCTTGAGCACTTATGGTGTGTAGGTCAGGTCCCGGAGGATTGGAAAAGGGCCAGTGTAGTCCCTATTTTCAAGCAGGGGAGGAAGGTGGATCTGAGTAATTATAGGCCAGTTAGTCTCACCTCTATCCTTGGAAAAGTCTTTGAAAAAACTATTAAGGATCATATTTGTGGGAATCTGGTGGGAAAAATAATGTAGCAGGGCCACCAGCATGGGTTCATAGGAGGTAGATCATGCCTGACTAATCTTGTCTCTTTTTATGACCAGGTCGCAAAATGCTTAGATGCAGAAGTAGAGGTGGATGTCATTTTCTTGGACTTCAGGAAGGCCTTTGATATGGTATCTCACTCCATTCTCATAAATAAATTAAGAGGCTGTGACTTAGATGTTTACACAGTCTGGTGGGTGGCAACCTGGCTTGGGCTTTGCACCCAGAGAGTGGTGGTGGACAGGTAGGTATCAACCTGGAAGGATGTGGGCAGTGGGGTCCCACAGGGCTCAGTCCTTGGACCTGTACTCTTCAATGTCTTCATCAGCGACTTGGATGTGGGCGTGAGGTGTACTCTGTCTAAGTTTGTGGATGACACAAAATTGTAGGGTGAAGTGAATGCACCAGAGGGTAGGGAATGATTGCAGGTGGACCTGGAGAGGTTGGAAGAGTGGGCTGAACACAATAGAATGCTGTTCAACAAGGACAAATGCAGAGTGCTGCACCTAGGGCATAAAAATATCCAGCACATCTACTGGCTGGGGAATGACCCTCTCAGCAGTACAGAAGTGGAAAGGGGTCTCAGAGTCATAGTGGATTCCAAGATGAACATGAGTCGTCAGTGTGACAAAATCATCAGCAAAGCTAATCACACTTTATCATTCAATAGCAGATACATGACAAATAGAACCAAAGAGGTGATACTTCCCCTCTAAGCAGCATTAGTCAGACCACAGCTGGAGTACTGCATCCAGTTTTGGGCGCTGTACTTTAAAAAGGATGTGGATAACATAAAGAGGGTCCAGAGAAGGGACACTCGTATGGTTAAGGGTTTGTAGGCCAAGCCCTGTAAGAAGAGACTGAGGGACCTGGACTTCTTCAGCCTCCGAAAGAGAAGGCTGAGAGGTGATCTTGTGGCCGCCTACAAAATCATCAGGGGAGGCAGTAAGGAATTGGAGATGCTCTGTTCATTAGGGCACCTCTTGGGGTAACAAGGAACAATGGTCACAAACTGACAGAGAGCAGATTTAGACTGGACATCAGGAAGAACTTCTTCGTTCCCTTGTGCCCTTTACAATTTCTTCATCCTGGGCAATGAATGTGTTACTGGCCCCTGCCATAGGAGATTACTTCCTCACCTCTTCTGCATCCCCCTCCCCTCTAGGTGCATCTACACGTGATGTTATGTTGCTATAGTAGTGATTTAGCAGCATGCTCCCCATTATAGTGAGCTGCTATGGTGAAGTACTTGCTAAAAATAACCATGCACTATGCACACGGCACAGTATGGGCAGTTACTGTGCTGTGCTTTAGTACTAGAGCGTGGTGCATTAACAATGTCTCCATAGGGCAACATGTAGGCACACCCTCTAGGTAGAGGAGTGGTCTTCCTATATAGACTAGTCTCCTGGGGTGTATGTAGATGAAATGGAGACCCCAAATTGAAGCGGTGGGTTTTAAAAAACACCGCTTCAATTTAGGGTTGATTAAATCCCCGTGTCATGCACACACCCTGCTGACTTACCTACCTCTCCAGCAGGGAGGGGGTGGCAAGCTGCTGGTGGGTGGAGCGGTTCCTGGGCTGTAGGGGGATGGGGATTGGTGCTTCTCTCTGTGGCAACCATGCCCCGCCTCCCCCCAGGTGGCACCTGTCCGCAGGCACCAGACCCGGGTGGTCCCGGGGGGCACTGCAGCCATGGAGGGAAGCACAGGTCCCCGCATAGCTCAGGCAGGCACCGCGCACTGTGGTCGGGGGGGCGGGGGGGGCGTGGGGGGGGGGGGGGGGGGATTGGGGATCAGGCTCATCGCTTTTCTTGGGTGGAGACTGCCTTTCCAGGTTGCTGCAGGGCTTCCTGTGGAGCCCCTGACCTGCATGGAGCCCGGTGCTTCACTCCATGGCTGTAGGGGCAGCAAACTAAAACTCCTCAAAGGAGTTTTAGTTTGCTGTGCCCCAAGTCATTTAAGGCGCATTACGCCGCCGAATTTCCTACAGCGACTAGATTAATGAGCAATATGCCGCCGAGGCGTGCAAACACTGACACCATTAAAATGGTACAAAAGCATTTAGGCCCACTTTAAAGTGTCATGCACACATGGCTCTCATTTCATCTACACATGACCCGTAGTCTCATTCACAGACTAATGAGGCAGACAGCCAGTGCTAGGAAGCAAAGGAGCGCTTTATACTCCCTTTCCTCTCCTGCAAATGTATACAGGATAAATGACATGCTTGTCCTGAATAAATAATTCTGTCCTAAAATTATCCCTGCTATGGTACAAATCAGATTCTGGGGGAAGCCCAGACTCTACTAGTAAGATTACACTTTTATTATACTTTCCCTTGTATGCTTACCACCATTTGATTTATAAAAAATGTATGTGCAATGCAACCTGAAAAAAGCATTAGGAGTCTAAAACCTATGTGCAACTGTCAGGAAACCAGCTAGTAGGACCTGACTTTTACAAAGAGTGTTAGGGAGGAAAAGGTAGCCTTTTCCCTTTGGTGCTCATGTTTCTGTATTTTTCCTCCTATTTGGACTCAGTTTTCTCATTTTCAAAATATGGTTCCATTAACAAAAGATCTAATTTTAAACTAATAGCAAAGTTGCAGATAAAATAAATGTGTATTTCCAGTGCCACAATAGTTTATAATGTTAATATGACCCATCAACAATATATGTCAACATTGTTTTCGTGTGATGAGCAACAAAATCTGCAGACTGATCAGATTTAATAAAGTAAACAAAAGTGTGAAAAGACAACCATTTTGCTTACTGTTTTTTTCTGCCTTCCTTTAGATTGTAGTTTTTTTAATACTTTACTGTGTTGTATGCACATCACAGATGTTAGTTGGATATGCTCTTTGAATTCAGGATATGATGAAGTTTAGATATACAAATGTATCCCAAATTTTAAAGATCATTCTGATGTTACTTACAGGTTTCTGTACTGCAGATAAGATATCCACTCCCAGGGTAAGTGCCAGCTTGTACAGATGTCTGATATGTGTATGTTTCTCCAGAGTATTAGTAAGGTGGAGCTTAACTTGATGTGCATCACCAGGGACTTCATTTGTTTCAGGAATCTCAAGTTCTCCTGATTTTATGAGACAGTCCATCTGGAAAATTAGCAAGTATTTGAGATAATTCCTTAAATGAAATGATACCCTTCCATTTTTCACCATCATATGTTAATATAAACCACATAGGGATGAGTCTGAAGCACAGAATTTGGATTTAGGTCCAGACTATGAACTCCTCTAATTTTAGAGGGTTTAAGATCCAGTGTTTTAGTTTATGTCCATAAGTAGATATATGTCATTAGTCTGTGGCAAAAGAAAGATGATAGGTAGTACCAAAAATGGACAAATGATGAATTCTGGGAGGAAGAAAGTTATATTTATGGTAAAGATTATTATACTCACTTTTTCTTTAACATGATGGAATTTGACTGTCTTGTTCAAAATGTCATCATATTCTGTCATCATGTCCTTTATCTTTTGATGAAGATGAATAAGTTCACTTACTTTCTCAGAATTTTCTTGCCCAGGAACTCCTTTTAGGCTCAGCAGTTCTGATAATTTCACCATGTATTCAACCTCAGCACTCAGTTGCTAAAAAAAACCCCAGACACTCAAGTTAACTTAGATTTACAGGAACTATCTTACATTTAATAAAATACAAACGTACATAAGGGATGGGCAGGCTGATTTGGAAAAGCAAGTAAGTGCCACTATGTGATGCTCACCTTATCTTTGAACTGAGACATTTTGGCATGAACCAAAATCTCAAATCCATGAAATCCTATAGTTTGGAAAGCTTTGGCTCGGATCCGGACTTTGAGTGGAGGACATTCTAGCAGTTTGTTTCCCATATTCTCATGTTTTTAGGTATGTTGGGATTATAATGGATTCACAAATTTGAGGGAACTAAATACAATGGAAAAGGATCTTGTTGTGGTATTTACATTCCTTTCTCAGTTTCAGTCAGATATTATTGGATACAAGCTAATTCTCAGGTGAATGCCATCTTGGATCTGGATGATTTCTAGGTTTAGAGGGGATCAATAGAGGCACTGTACCAGGATTCAACTTCTGGTGGCTGGAAGGCAGGACAATTTAGGAATTAAGTCTGCAGTGAATGAATGAAGAGAATAGGACATACAGAGATTGGGCGCACACCTTGCTGGGGTTATTTGACTCCAGCAGTCTTTCCTGCCCAGAGCAAGGGGGCTGGACCGAATAATCTCATCCAGTCCCTTCCAGACTTAAACTTCTGTGAATCTGTGCATCTGGAATCAGGTATACAATACAGAGAAGGCAAGAAACTCACTAAAGCACCCCAGTCTCTGATCAGCTATACAGCTCCTATGTACAGAGCTAGGCAGTTTTTTCTGTTCTTGCACACTAGGCTAGCCTTTCTTCTGTACAGTCAGCCTTTCCTTGTGCAGATAGTATCGTATGAGACATTTTGAGTTTAGACTACACAGAAAGCAGTGGCAGTGTGTGTGCCCATTCACACAACTCCACATACAGCATAAAATAGAAGGTCATGAATTTGCAGACATAAACAGTGTGTGCAGTCCAACTGAAGTCAACATAAGCAATAAGCCTGTATGATCAAAGCCTTTTTCTCCTTGAATCCCATAAATGTAATAGTGTTGGAGTATTGTTGTAGACATGATGATTTAGAAAGTGTACAAGAGGCAAGGATTTATTATGTTATCTTTTAGTGGACCAGGTATATATTTCGGAGAGCTATTGGACAAACTTTTGGGCATCAAGTGCCTTTCCTCAGGTCTAAGAAATGTTTGTCCAGCATCTCAGCCAACTGCATAGTTGATGCAATAAGAGAAATCACAAAAAATCCTTCCCTCCCATAAACACAATCCATTTTCTCACCTGAAACTCTGGTTTCATTTGGTTAATTTTTTTTTGTAGATCCAAAAGAATGTGAAGGTTACTTCCAAGGTCGACAGTTGTGGCTGGTTTGAGTGCCTCTTGAAGAATTTTTGAACTGTGGGTAGTCTAAAGGATACAAAGAAACAACAATCAAATATGTTTATCTGCTTTAATTACATTTTGAATTAAAAGCTAGTATTTCACAAGTACATTTTAAGAAATATGAGTTCCATCACTGGGATCCCATAAAATGATATTGTATTTATCAAATAAATAGGGTTATTCACATTGAACTTTCACCTGTCTTATTTGCTTAAATCCTCTGCTCTTTAAAAAGGTCACAGAAAGTTATAAAGCAGGAATAGATGTCTTTTTCAGTGATTCTCAGCCAGGTTGCCATGAGATCCTTATAAGAGTTCTTCAGTGGTGTTGTTCAATATTAGCACTTGTACGTGTGCAAACACCTATACATGATTCCCAAGATAAACCCAGAGATTTCAAATAGGAATCCATAGTATCAAAAACATTCTGACCTGTTGTGGTCTGAGTTCTTTGCAACAGAAGTATCACTCTATTTTCTTTTCTGTAGTCAAAAATCAAGTGAAAGCTAAGAGCTGGCATTTTGGAGGAGTGTTTAATGAGATATGTCTTGATTCTAACATCTATATGTCAGGGTATGTCCAACTGCACAATGCAATGCAGTTGGTTGAAATTATTTGGTATCAACAAAATATTGAAAAATTTCTTAAAGCACTACCAAGAAATGATATGAGGAATATTGAAGAGATGAAGTATAGAGTTATGCCAACCACAGGACAATCTTTCTCTCTCACATGATCTATTATTAGTTGAAGAGAAAACTAATAAATTATTATTATTATTCAGACTAATAATAATGCAGAAATGTTTAGCACTAGGCCTGTGTGAAGCAGCTAATATTCGCTTTGGATTTGGATTTGGCCAATTCGGGGAACAGTGATTTGATTCGTTGATTTAAATAAGCGTCCCAAATCGCTTTGGGCAAATCTGATTCGGAGATTCAGCTGCTGCCGAATCTCTGAATCAGCCAGGCCCATCCCCGCCAGCCTGACAATGGCTGCCTCACCCACCCCAGCTCCCAGCACTTGTTAAAAAAAAAAAGCCCCAACTTTAAGAAAAAAACCCCCCAAAACACAAAAAAACCCTGCCAGTGGGGGGCAATCTCTATGTCCCCCCATTGCCCCATGCCATGTGAGGGGCTCTGCAGGAGCCCCCCAAGGCCACTGCAGGAGCGGTGAGTCCCAGGGCTTTTCTCATTTTTTTTAATTCTTAAAAGACCAGAGGCCTGGAAGGACAGCCATGGAGGAGCTGGGGCGGCTGGGGCAGCCAGGCAGGGGGGGCTGGGGGAGCAGGCAGGGGATGGGGGCTGGCAGGGATCCCCCATGGTCCCCTCTCCCAGCTCCCCTTTCCCTGCCCCTAGTGCTTACCAGCTCAGAGTTGGCTGTAGCTCCCTGCTGCAGCCACTGGGGACTGTCGAAATCATCAAAGCTCTCCGAATCTTTTCTGAAGATTCAGAGAGTTTTGAATCTATTCATCCCACTGAATTGGGCTGAACTGCCTCTGAATTGAATCACCACCCAAAGCTTCACACAGCCCTATTTAGCACCACTCTTTCATCAATCACGTTTCACTTACTTTTTTAAACTGCTCTTTAAGTTTCCAGCTCTGTTGTTTGATGGACTTAACTTGATTTATTTGAAGCTTCCAGGTTGTCCAAATTTCTGTCAGGTCTTCCTTTACTTTATTCAGATTATCAAGAGCCTCTTTAGTTACTCCCACAACATTGCCTGACTTTAATATGAGGTTCTCATTTACCTGATAAATAAAATATTAATGTAACTTCTATTTTTTCAGAATAATTCTGCCCCTTCTCCCACCCCTCACTTGCAACATTTTTACAAGAGTACCCAAAAAACCCAAAACAACACCCCCCCCCCCCCCCCCCCAAAAAAAAGATTAGGAGTTTTTCATCAATAAAGTTTCACAGAAACTTTTAAGCATTTTATATTAGCAAGTGACTAAATAAGCAGAAACAATCCAGAAAGCACACAACCCAGGTGTCCCACCTCTAAGCTGAGTGCTTTTTCTATTAAGTTATAGTCATGATCCCTTGTGCTCATTCTTTTCCTCTTGTATTCTTGGTTTTGGAGTGACCCAGATTCAAAAGGAGGAGTAAAGGGTGCAACTATTCTATGGTTATGCCATAATGCCTGATGATTAGGGCACTCACTTGGGAAGTAGGGGATATGGGTTTAACTGTCCTTAGGCTGAAGAGCCCTCAGGGTTCCCACTTTGCAGGTGGGTATTTTTAGCCCTATACAATAGTTTTTATATGAAAAGTACACAGCGGATCAACCACTATCAACACCAGGTATGTTCTGAATGAATATTTCTGTGGCTGCTGTGCTTTGTATCGAAGTCATTGCTGTAGATGTGTTATTTGTGCTTATATCTGGATTATATTAGAGTTTATGTGGGTGCTGGGTGTCCAGCTTGCTCAAACTGGTTTGCTTCTCAGCATATGTGGACAGCAAGGGACAGACATTCAAAAAGCCTAAACCTGAATTGATTCGATCTTTGCAGGTTAGTCTAACCTGGCTAGGCTAAATCAGTTTTGTAACCAGACAGACATCCCAGAAATGCAGGCACGTGCTTGCAGTGGCTCAGGCTAGAAGCTGGGGGGTGCTAGAACAGCTCTCCCTTCCTTGCATAGTTTTGAGCTCATGGGGGTGTGGCCAGGCTCTGGCAGGAGCTCTGATTCACCCAGCATGGAATTGATAACAGTATTTATCATCCAATTAAGAAAACAACAGAGGAACATTACTAGCACTTATTGATTCTACCTGTTGATTCAGCACAGACTGTAGCCAGCATGTGGTATGCTAGCTAATACACAGACACCTCCTCAGCAAGGCAGAGGGGAGGGGGGAATTCCTGATTAGCAGGGAGTGGTGAGGGGAGGGTGGAACCAGCCCGCAGTCTCTGGAGCTCCAGCCAGGGAGCAGAGGGGAAGGACCAACCCTGCTGTGGAGCAGAGAGCCCTGCCCAGCCCAGAGAGCATGCCAGGATGCTGCGGGTGTCTGGGTTACTTTAAACCAACAAGGGGTCTGGGACAGACATTGCATAAACTGGTTTGAGCCAAATCAGTTAAGTCTGATACTACATTCAACCAGGTTTATCTCAAACCAGTTTCAGCCATTCTCAAACTGGTTTATCTGCACTGAACATCTGTTCTGTTACAGGTTTAAACCAGTTTCTGATCATTTAAATTGGTTTCTATGTAATGTCTGTCCCTAGCCCAAAGTTTACATGCATAGGAAACTTTGCAGTCTGGCATATAGGCAACTGATTAATTTTGTGGTTGCTGGAGGAGGAGGATTTTGGATTACTTTTTGCAATGTAGGGGCTTAAAGTCCACCTAAGGTAGGTGCCTAATTTACCAGCTCAGATTTTCCCCTTGGAACAAAGACCTGAATCAATACTGTGCTGTTTGCCTTGGGGTGTCATGACATTATGATAAAGCTAAAGAAGACTTCCTTGTTGGAATGATTTTCTAATGGCAAATACAGTTTCTACAATATCAAAATGTCTGTCCAGATTTCTTGATCCAATTAAATATTTTATTTTGGGCCACTTTAACCTGAATCTAGATACATTTTTTTAATTGACCTAAGATATTTCATTTTCAGTCAGTTAAAAAAAATAGCATGCATCTATTTTTTGTATCCTATGAACCAAGCTCAGTGGAAAACCACTTTATCTAAGTAGACACACAGTTTAGTGAACCTGGTCTGCATGGAAGCTTTTCTCAGGTCATATGGGACAATGAAAGGGCAACAAAAAACTACAAAGTAATGTGTTAGGGAACGCAGTTTAACATTTACCAGACTTGAAAGGAAGCTTTCCAGATCAGTTCAACAAAATGAAATTAATGCATTCCATTTTGAGAATGTCAAAATGTTTTCTTTTATTTTTAAAGTTAAAATGAAATGTTTTCAGTTTTCCAAATAAATTTTTGGGGAATTTCCATTGTCCAAATTTTGTTTTTAATTCAAATTGTGTCCCATTACATCACTAAAACTAACGATGACATTGCCATTTGCTGAATTAATTTATTTCTAATACTGTTCTGTTTTTTCCATCTTGACAAACACTAGAAATGCCATGCCTTGGACAGGCTGCTTGAGATGTGATCAGAATCCAGAGTTTTAATCTTAATTTGTCACTGGTTATTGTAGTATAGTGTCTAATTGAAGGTATTATTGTGAGTTCAACAAATAATCCTGGCTAAGGTGATAACTTCATTTCTCACCATATTTACTAAATTAAGGAAACCATGACCCATATTCTCAGTGGAAAGAATCTTCTTTACAACCGTCTGCCATTGAGTTTCAGCTGTCTCCATTACAGTCTTGTTTTCCATTTCATTGTCTGTGTGTAGAGCATCAGATTTAAAGAATTCCTTCAGTCTTTCAGCATCATCATTTACCTATGGAAATACACAAGAGTCAGTTTAAATGCCTCAAACTGCAAAAAGTAAATTACTGAAATCCAGATACAGTGGTAGATTGGAGTAAAACAGTAATAAATCTCTTCCATGTTTTAAATACACCTTCCTCTCCAAAACCTGAACTATAATAAAACAAGCAGAAGTGGGTTAAATAACCTTGAAACCTATTTGGACTGCTGGGGAATAGGTTAGGGACTGAGGGTGGAAGTTATGCAGCACACAGCAATACATTTTTAAATTGTTAACAATTTCTTCAATTTCTCTGAGATCTTATTACATTATATCAATATTATAATGCACTTTGCAGCATTTAATGTGAAGTACCTCAAATCAGCATTTGTCAAACAGAACACCACAAATTATAGACATAAAAAATTAAAAGAAGTCAAACATTAGGACATAGACAATTAGATGTGATCTAGTTTTCAAGCTGTCTTCAGTAGTAATAATAAATAACTGTGATAGCCAAATTTATCTAAAAGATTCATTTTAACCTTTGTTCTTACTTAGATTAAAACACACAAGAAAAATATTGGTTAATACTAGGGCTATGCGAAGCTTTGGGTGCTGATTTGATTCGGAGGAGTTTTGACCTCATTCAGTGGCTGAATCTCCAAATTCAGATTGAATCAGGGGACCAATTTAAAGATCTGAGTTGATTTGAAGCTCTCCAAATTGATTTGGAAAAGATTCAGAGAGCTTCAGCAATTCAGGCAGTCCCCCCTGGCTGCAGCAGGGAGCAGGACCTGGACTCCATGCTGGTAAGTGGGGGGAGGGGAGAGGAGGGGACCATGGGGGATCCCTGCCAGGCCCCATCCCCTGTCTGCTCCCCCAGTCTCCCTAAGCACCCCCCAACCCCTGCCCGCTCTCCCAGCCCTCCCCACCTGGTCCTAGCTCCTGGTTGTTTAAAAAAAAAGCCCCTACTCACTGGGTGCTGCCAGGCGGGGGGGCAATCCCTGCTGTCCCCCACTGCCCCATGCTGTGTGGGGGGCTCTGCCACAAGCTCCCCAATGCTTGCCTGTTCTCCCAGCCCCCACATGGTTGCCCCACCCCTCCAAGCTCTTGGCCCTTTAAAAAAAAAAGAAAGGCTGGGGGAGCGAGGGGGGGTTGGGGGGCTCATGGCAGAGCCCCGCCATGCAGTGTGGGGCAGCAGGGATCGCTCCGCACTGGGCAGAAGCTGGTGAGTCTGGGTTGTTTGTTTTTTTTAAAGGGCCAGGAGCTAGGGCAGGAGGGGCAGCCATGGGGCGGGGGTGCTGGGACAGCAGGCAGGGGTACAGGGGCTTGTGACAAAGTCCTCCCACATGGTGTGGGGCAGTGAAAGGCAGCGGGGATCGCCCCCCGCCTGGCAGCAGCTGGTGAGACATGGAAGCTGGGGTGGGGGGGCTGGGAGAGCAGGTAGGGGATGGGCCTGTGTGATCTGGAGATTCTGATTCGGCAGCAGCCAAATCTCTGAATCAGATTTGGTGGAATCGATGTGGGACAGTGATTCGAATTACCAAATCAAATCACTGTCCCCCTGAATCGGCCGAATCCGAAGCGAATACTAGCCGCTTCACATAGGCCTAGTTAATACTATTGAGGTAGTTAAACAAGCAAACAAAGCAAAAGAAATTCTATTATTGATTCACATTGATTAATAAAAGTGTTTTTAAAATTCAGGAATTGATTTTTGCCTTTCTTAGGGCTGGCTTACACTTGATATTGACACTCATTTAACTCAATTAATAGAAAAAACAGTTAGTTAAATTGGAATTGGCCTCTTAGGTGAACGCATTTATTATAACAATATAAAGAAGTTTGTGTCCATACTGAAACAAACTACATTGATGTGAACACTTTTGCATTGATATCCACTGCAGGGGTTGAACTGGTTTAATCATACTGGTTTCTCAACTGGTGTATTTAAAATAGTCTAATCACTGCACAGAGACTAGTCCTTAACTGCTATAAATTCTCTGATCTATTTTTCTATTGTATTCTATTCTATTCTAGTACTGAATCAAGCAAGGACTTCTTCTGAGGGAAATTAACTCCTTCAGAAAAGACTGCAGTGTAAGAAGGTCTATAAACCTGCCGTATCTTAGCAATTCTAGAGGCTGTTTTAAGCTAGACAAAAATCCCCATTTTCTTTTGAAGCTAAAGAATGAGGTCTGGGAAGTAAGGAGCTAATATATACCTCCTTGGCAGACTTTAAAAATGCCACATAAGCTTTTAGAATGTCTAGTTTTGAGCTGATATTTTTGCTAAGTGTTTTCAGTTCTTCATTTAGAAGTTCAGCTTTGTTAGAAAAAGTTGCCATCTCTTCAGGTTCAAATTCATCCCCTTCCTTAATGATTCTCACAGCTGCTTCCAGCTGATGTGATGTTTCCTACAATGGCATAAGCATAGAACACAGTTTAGCACACTGAAAAGGACTTGTGAAAAAAAATCACATCTCATGTTAATTTCCAACTGTGGCTCCTTCAGTTTACTTCACCCACCCAGACAGTGAAAGAACAACTCTAAATGTTCATCAGTTAACCACCATTCCATAGGAACATTTTAAAACCAAATACAAAGGTTGAATATCCCAATCACATCTAGTAATTTTAAATAGGAAAAACATAAGCTTGAATATTTAAAATAAGTGCATAGAAAGACAAGATTCTTTGGGTAGATGTGATATCTTTTATTAGACTAAATAAATAGTTGGAAAAATTGTTCTTTGCAAACTTTTGGGCACAAACACTCTTCTTCAGGCATAGGAAGAGTCTGTTGTTGTTTTGTGTGCTCTGCTGGGTAGAACAGAAGCCAATAAGCAAATTGCAGGTCTGTGAAAATGCAAATGCATGGCAGTGAGGTTCAGAGGGAATAGGAGACAATAGATGAGAGACAGGTTGGGGGGGAAGGGAGAAGAGGGGAATGCTGAACTGGTGATAGACTGTAGCTGGTAACTTGCAAACAGGTTACCTGGGATTATCAGATGGCAGGCAGGCTATGATGTGCCATAAATCCTATGCCTATATTTAGTCCATGATTTTTTGTATCCAGTAGATTTATGAAGTGAAATTTGTAGGCTCATCTATGAAAAGTGTTTTGTAAATTCCCTTTGAGGATTAGAACTGAGAGACTGGTTGTCTTGTAAGAAGTGTGAACCCCACAGGTAATTGGGTACTTTTGTCTTTGATAGCTTTGTAGTGTGTGTTCATTCTAGTATGCAGTTGCTGTTTGGTTTCTCCTACATATTTTCCATCAGGGCATTTGGTGCACTGGATGAGATATATTACATTTCTGGAGGTGCAGGCATAAGATCCAGGAATGGTGATGGTTGCATTGTGGGGTGTGGTTATTGTGAGAGTGGTGGAGATGTGTTGGCAGGCTTTACATTTCTTGTCCTTGCATGGTCTGGATACATTCAGTGTGCTATGGGCCATAGGAATTTTGCTTCCAGTGATGAATTTGGCGAGGTTTGGTGCTTGCTTAAAGGCTGGAATGAGTGGTTCTGGAAAGATCTTTTTAAGAATTGAGTCTTTTACTAGTATGGGTTGCAATTGTTTGAGGATTTTCCATATAGGTTCCAGGGAAGGATGGTATGTAATAACTAATGGTGTGCGATTCATGGGGATTTTCTTTTTGTACTGCAGCAATTCTTCACCTGGTATCCAGGTGGCTCTTTCAAAAGTACAATTCATCTCTCTGGATGCATGTCCTTGTTGGGTGAAAGCCCTTTTGAGAGTTGTGAGGTGACAATTGCGGGTATTCTTCTTGGTGCAAATTCGGTGGTATTGGAGGGCTTGGCTGTATATTATAGCTTTCTTGGTGTGTTTAGGGTGATTGCTGGTTCCATGTAGGGGAACAGAGTGCCCCTGCTGTGAGGCCCCACTCCCTGCCAAAGCTTGTTGGATGGGGTCGGGGGGTGGGGGGGCAGGATGGGGTTGCTGCAGGGCTGTGCAGCAGCTTGGCTGTCACTGACTCAGGTTAGTGCCAGTCAAGGGGATGGGGCCAGCCTGGCACTCAGGCTACAGCAGCCCTGTGCAATACTGCCTGGGATGGGGGTGCTCATACTTTAAGTTAACCCTTGATGGGATCTGGCACAGATGTTTGATAAAGCACTCTAACAGAAATGCTTTAGGTTAATTCATGTCCATCCAGGGTTAACTAAGAGCAGGATCCACCATTTTTAAAGCACTTTATGTGTTATGAATGGTTGGTCTGTTATAGCTGTAAAGTACTTTCTGTGCATTTAAAGCACATTAAGTGTAACGCCTATACCCACTCCAAGATAACAGATTCATTCAGAATCTCATGTGTGAGCTCTGCAGTTTTCACTCCAACTTCATGCAAGTATAATTCTTGTAGTTGTACCTATACTTTCAACCAGGCCTTAAAAAAAATCCGAGAATCCTTCCCTTAGATGTTGGGTTGATATTTTAAGGATCTTAGTGAATAAATGGCCCAAAAGGACATAAACAGCAACATTTTTGGTTTTCAACTGCACTTAAAAATAGTAATGAAAAAAATTCAGCCCTAGTTACAAGCCTAATGCTGCTGTAGTGAAATTTAGAAGAATTCAAGGTTTCTACTGAATGTCAGAAGTTTGGCAACCAGGATAAATAATTTCAAGAGACAACACAGAAGTTTTTGCTTTGGGTTTTTTCAAATTAGTTCCTGACCCCAACGTTTTCATCATTTTTTCACACTTTAAAAATGTTAACGTGATTTTATGGAATGATCACTAGGGGTGTGCAAAGCGGGCCCTATTCAATTCAGATTTGGATTCGGCCCAAATCAGGGACAGTGATTTGATTTGTTGAATCACTCCCTGATTTCATTCGGCCAAATCTGAATCTGAAGATTTGATGCTGATTCAGAGAATCAGCGATTTGGACATAAACAGAGCTTTAAATGTTTTTCCTATATAGCTTGAGGTACCAGCACAGCTTGTGAACACTGAGATGCTGGGGTGAATGGAGCATCCCACAGGAGCACAGGGGGGCCCTCCATGTGCTTGGCGGTGAACCTGGAAGTGGACTAGAAGTACTTCTGGTCCACTTCTGGGTCCACTGCGGAGCCCCTTGCGGTCCCCTGGCTTAGTGATTGGCTGTGGGTGGACCCTGGGTGCCCCTCCCAGACCCAGGAGGCATCAGCCACTGAGCTGGGGGGCCGCAGGGGGGGCTCCTGGTGGGCTCCCCACTGGACTTGGAAGTGGACCAGAGTACTTCTGGTTCATTTCTGGGGCTGCTGCCAAGTGCACTGAGGAGCCCCTGTGCTTCTGTGGGACACTTCATGCACCCCAGCATCACAGCACTCACAAACCGCCTGCTACCTAGAGGTATGTAGAAAAAACATTTAAAGCTGTCTATATCCGAATCGCCAAGTCTTTCCCAATCTCTCCAAATCAATTCAGAGGGTTCCAATTCAATTCAGAGAGATTAAAGGGTCCTATGATTTGATTTGGATTCAGAGATTTGGCCACTGAATCAGGCCAAATCTCCACCAAATCAAATCAGGGACCATAGCTTCGCACAGCCCTAATGATCATCCTATATATCTAAAGTCATCAATCAAAACTGTATATGTTAGGAGGGCATAAGAATACAACATAAGAAAAGAGCTTATATGCATCTACTTCTGGTTCCAGAGACCTAACCCAGCTTTAAATACTTCAGTCAATCTCTTGGATTCATACAGCATGACATACTTATCTTTGATAATCAGCCAAGAGTGCAAATTATATATCATGTGAAATTCCACAGGAGGAATGGTAAGGTGACTATGATCTGCAGTCTAAGCAGCTCACATTGGTTTAAAAAAAATTCACAACAGGCAAAAGAAATTTCCAAGTCAGAATAGTGTCACACAAGTGAGGAAGAAATGTCAGCAAAAATGACCACGTGCTCTTTTGCTACAAATAATGGGCAAGCTGCTATTAATTTTGCATTCTTGCTGAGTGATCTTCAGAGTTACTTGTAGGTAAACTATGTTTTCAGTGCTACTGCCCAAATGAAATTGATAGATTATATAACTGATTACAAGAAAGCAACAAGAAAAGGAACTCTAAAAAAGTAATGAAGTTCTAAGAGCAGTGCTTAGAGTGGGAGTAGCTTCAAATAGAATATGCACAGCTGCGCTGTCAAAGGGCTTCCCAGGCATGTAATATGCACCCATATTAACATTTCCACAGGCTAAGGGAAGTATAAATTGGCTTTAATATACCTCTGTACCCTCCTGATCCTGTGGGTGCTCCTGGGGCTGGGAAAGGTCTATTGTGTAACTTGAATAGCCAAGTTACAAGAGTCTCCCTGGGATATGCCAATAGCAAGGCAGCCTTTTGGCTTTCTCCACTGTTTCTGCACCTCAGAAATGCTCCCCCATCCAGAGGTGAAACTTTTAAGCTATCAAGCCCTTTGTGTCCATATAAAGAAGCTGGAGCAGGACTGAGAATCTCATCCCAGGTACTGTTCATGTCTTTCAACACCACAAAACTCAATAAGTCATGTATGAGTACTCATACACATCAAAAGCATTGTGCTGTAGAGGTATTAAAATCATATGACAATGTTTGGACCCTGAAACAGGATAGGGTGATTTAAAAAAATGAAAAATAGACACACCAAAACTATAAGAACTACCTGCTTGCAATCTTCATTATGTTATTGTTGATGGACAAGTATTTTTAATAAATAGGCAGACTTATTTCCTTCCAAGTAAATGTGACAATCCTTCTCTAAACCTCTCAGCATTTGGAAATTCCTATAGTGTGCACTGTGTCTAAAAATACTTACATTAATACCAAATGAAAGGGTGTTTTACCTTAGCTTGATTAGCCAGCTCTAGGTGTTTGTTCAAAATTCTCTCTGATTCAGACAAACAAGACCCAGGATCCATACCAATGGTAAGTATAGGGCTGATTTTTTTAATTGACATTGATACCTTTAATTAAAAATATAATATAATCATTAATTTATATCATCAAGAGCTATGAAAACACAAATCTTCATAGTTTAGCTAAGTTTGGCAGATTTCAAATTTTGACAGATAATATCGGTTTATTTTTAATAATTTATTTTGATTTTTATGTATTTACATTTTCAGGCATGTGCGAAATTAGGGCTGTGGGGAGCAGACAATTTAACTGCCCATTGCGACAAATTTAACTACTGTAGGACTGCCACCAGTTGAGTAGCAAAGCTGCTATCAGTCCCAGTTCTGCTCGCCCATGACTCCCTTATCTTCTTTGTCACTTCCTCTTCCTTTGTTCCTAGTCCCCTGGGTTTGGTGGGAGTTGCAGTCTAAATTACAGTCAGCATGGTTCTGTAGGATTGTTCGCCCTGTTGTTAGACACTCCATCAGCCATCATTTTTCTTATGTCTCCTTTCTATACATTTTGATTATTAATGACGGAAGTATCTTTTCATTGGTCTGGGAGTGTGAGGTGAAATCAATGTTTATTAGCATTTACCAGTAAAAAACAAATCCTGTCACACCTACGTATAGCCAGGGGAGATATTTAGAAGTTGTCATGTAAGTATTGGGGTTTCTATTTTCTAATCCTTAATATAATGCAATGGAATTAAGAAATTTAGGGAATGCAAAAATTAAAATGAAAAATATCTAAGTTGCTTTTCTTTCTCTCCCTTGTAATTATTTCAGCATTTGTATCACAAAGGACAATTATTGTGTTTTAATCTAGAATTTATGACTTTGAAATCAGTGCTGCATTAAAAAAAAAGAAAGTATAGACAAATTTTTGTTTTAGAAAAAGAAAACTTTTTGGTTGGCACTTTTCTGCCAATCAAAATGTTTTATTTTATGCAGAGATGTATATATAACTTCCCTCAGTGACAATGGGAGTTAAATATATACAATAGGTCATGAAGAGCAGCTGTAGACAACTCCAGATATGATATACATAGCCATTAATAGCGATGCAAATTTACGAATACCATACATTTCAAGAAGAAATTTCAGACTGTGTGTGCACCAAATGAAACTCAATGCCAGCTGTATTTAGAACCAGATCCTTCAGCAGGCTGTGCATTACTGGAAGATTGCATAGGGAAGTGTTTTTTCTCCTTTTTTTTAAAGCAAGATGGGAACCCTGGTTCAAATTTTCCAAAAAAACCTAGCGGTGGGTGTCAGGAATGGAATATCCAAAAAGAAGACAACCAGGCTCAGGGGCCACATATGACATCATGGACCTAAGTCCATGTTTCATTGTGAAGAACAAAATTATTACATTTACAGAATTAACTTTATTTAGATTAACATGTTTTTATTGAAACTTGTTGCAAAAGACCAAGAGCAAGTAGCAGGGAATTTTTTGTTTTTTAGCTAATTAAACTGTATATTTTTATTTCATCCATTCTAATAGGTCTTGAAATCTCATTTATGGAAAATACATGCAAAGGGATCTATTGATTACAAATTGACTTCTTCCCTTTTGACTCAATATTTCCTTGTGAATATTCATCCTATTTCATGTGTATATATAGGATGTCAAATTACATATTTAATACTTATCATTATATATTATCTATTTTTTTTTATTTACGCCTTGTGATTTCTTTGCTGTGAACCTTGTTACAAAGATTATATTGCATTTGAGCTATAATGGGCATTCAGAGTCTCCTTTACAGACTATGTGCCTATTATACCTCAAATGCAACATTGTGGAGGTCAGTAGGAGTTGAGGGCACTCAGCAGGTTAGAGAGACTGTCAAGCATCTTGTAGAAACAGAACTTTAATGAATAAAATGAATTTTTATACCGAATGTGATGTACTCTGCTTTGGCAGCAGAGCAATCACATCAACCCTGCTGTGATTCACAGTTACTATTTCTATTGTTCCCTGAGTTTGCTGTACCACCTTTTCCATTTTCAACAAAATGCATTTAAAAAAAAAAGAGAGAGAGAGAGAGATAAATTATGCAGAAAACCTATATCAGTACCAGTCCTAATCATTTGTTTATCTCTGACAAGGCATGCTCATCCTCATACCACATTATGATTATTCATTTGTATGCACTGCTATCATGTTTTCAGTGAAATGGGTTCATTTCCGTAGCCGGAGTTTTAGGTTTACTGGCAATAGTCTAACTGAGGGTGGGCAACCAGGGCACAAGGCCCAGGCACCAATTTAGGTCAAAGAATAGAAGGGGGGAGGGGAGGGCACCAGGATGATAGCATCCAGACAGCCTGTGCTGTTGTAGCAGCAGCCCAAGCCCACAACACAGCAGAAGTAACAGGGGTCTCCACAATCAGGTAAGACTCATTTGACATCCCACCGTGGCTCTCTGGCATTCTGCCCAAAGCACTGAAATAGCTAGTTATGCCTCTATTTATGGGGCCCACTGCTGCACTCAGCACTTTACACATATTTGATATTCTTTACCAAAGAAATATATCATTATTGTTATTAACCCACACCCCCAGAACTCTAATATTTTGACAGCTTTACTTTAACAAATTAATATAGCTTGCAGGATAACATTAACAACAACAACAACAACAAAGGCATTCCATGATGTACCTTTTTTAGATAATCTTCTAGTGAGGCAGTTAACTGCTGTTTCTTTAAAGAAAATTCTGTGTAAGCAGGACACTGCCTGGTCAGTTGATCCACTCTTTTCTGAATGTATTCTATCATTTCCTGAATTCCAGGCAGCCAAGAACTAAATTGGAACAATACAGCTGTTAGGACTTCTCCAGGCTTGTGCAGCAGCCAAGATGACAGCAATTAAAAATAACATCGCTGTTTCAGATCAGAGGTGATTTAGCAACAACTTAAACACTCAAGCCTTAAAAAGTCATTATAAATATCAGTAATAAACAAAGCAAAACTGATAATGAGTAGGGCAGAAAGAGAGACTACATTTTCAATTTATAAATTAGCCTCAGGCACCAATTCCCTGGCTCACACTGAGAACTACCTTTTCCAGAAATAGTTTCAATGACTTCAGTTACCTGAGGAGTAAGGTAGTGTTCAGTGCAAGAAGGGGATCAGGCTGACTTTCCCAAAACTGAACAGAAGAAAGATAAATGAACTAAAAATATCTGGTAAGTCACAGAGGCTTAGATTTCTATTTTAAAAGGATATTCCTCCTCTGCCTCTCAAATTTTCTTCCAGTAGGTGCACAAAATGTCATCAACATTCCACCCATGCTTTAAATGTTTGTTTAAAGACACTGTTTGAACAGTAGTGGCAAGTGACAAAGTACTGACTTGCCCTATAATTTAAAACGTTTAAACATCAGGGTGCCAATTCACAATAAATGAATACTCGAGGCAGTTCTCTACAATTTGAAAAAAAGTTATCACATACAATTAAGTTTTGAAGATAGCATGTAAAAGAGATCAAACCTTCGTATTAATTAAGTATTGAAGCTTTCTCTAACTAAAAAAAAAAGATTTATATGACAAACACAGTTAAAATGTCATCTTTGTTAAAGTCCTCTAGTAGCTTTTTAATGTGCTTACCCTGATAAAGACACTTACACAGGGCCTGTTCCTATGCACACTGAAGTGCCAGCCTGGTGCATAGCACACCCCTTCCCAAACATTACTGTGGACTATATCAAGGTAATACTGATTACCTTGAATTAATATAAAATCCAAGATGGTAATAATAGCATTATTTAATAATAACATGTTTAGGTATTCTGCAAACTAATTTCCTGAAATCTTTTATTTTTTAATTTAATATTACATTTGTAAAATATTATTCCTCTATTCTAACATTCTTAAGAAGAGATGATCCTTTTAACAGTGTCTTCAAACACTACAGAGATTAGGATTATGCCTCTTGAAGATGATTACGTAGAGTTTAATAACATCTTGGAAACAGCTACAATTTTTATGCTATTAACACAGGTAACTAATTTATGATACAGTGAAATCAAATTTAGTCATCAGTACATGAGGGCAAGTCTACTGATAGGCAAAGGAGGCTGGCCAGAAAAATAATGAGGACAAACTCTCAGACTTGGTACAGACATTATACTTAACACACATTAAGCATGCAGAAAAGGCTTTAAAGCTAAACAGAACAGATGGCACTTAAAGCACAGGACCTGGTATTGGGGGGAGATAGCTCCTCTGTCACACGAACCTGGCCCAGCACCCCCTGAGACCCCAGCCAGCAAGCTGTGGGGGACCCTTGTGGTGGGGGGCTCCATTCGTCCCCCCTTCTCCCCAGCTGCTGCTGACAGTCATCTGCTGGTGGGGGAAGGCAGGGCTGGGGGGAGGGGCTGCTCCAGCAACCTCCTGGGAGGTGTGCAGGAGCACCCCACACTGCTGGCCTCAGCCAGTGCAGACAGGCACCAAACCCCTCTGCCACCAGATGGTGAATATCTGTTTGATTCATTCCCATTCTAACTGATAGCACTTTAAGTAAAGTGTGATAGTTAGATTGCTTCTGCCAGGGGCTTTTTGAATGTCTGTACTGATCCTTAGTGATTTCAGAATATCTGTGAATTAAAAGTATGCATTTTATATAGAAAACCTGTATCTTCTACATGCTTGAATGTACAAAAAGAGAAATTCACAAACGCTCAGCAGTTATATTATTTCTAGAGATATGCTCACTTGAAACAAAAACCTGATTTGGATTTTTTATCTATTTAAATATATAGTAGTAGTGAGATTATAATAAGGAACTGCTCAGTACAGTCTTTAACTATATCTCCATTTGTCTAGTGAACAAGGTTTTTCCCTTACTTTTTAATTTATTCTGACTAATTTCTAGTATACTAGGGAGATTTCTGTGCTAGAAGGTTTTCAGAGCTAGAACTATAAAGTTCCAGTTCTTCAGTCTTTAAGTCAGTGATATTCCTCAAGGAATAAAAGACTACTCAATGCAAGAGAGACAAAATTTAGCTGTTAAATGCTGTATAGGGCAAGACTTTTCTTGTATGTATATAAACTGCCTAGTACATTTTGGATACTCTACTATCACTACAAAAATCATGTGGATGTGACTATTTATTTCAATCTTAAATCTTTTCCTACTGTTCCCTGCCTTCACCCACATTAAATATAAATTTAACCCTTTTCAGTTATCAATACCTAGCCAGACTTTTGATATCGTATTTATGATCCAGATTTTGTTATCATTAGTCATGCTTAATAGTTTTTTAATTTGAGGAAAAATCCCATCAAAATTAATGCAGCACTTGTAGTACAATACACAATCACACTGAAATTTGTTTAGAACTGTCTCTAAGAATAAAAAAAAAAATATTCCTTACTGTGGCATCGGATATTCTGGCCTCCAGCATAATTAAAACGGGGTTGTCACACAAGAAGTGGAACAAGCAGTCACCCTACCTTTCCCCCTATCATAAATCATGATGAATCCTTCTGCAATAGTATGCTCATTATTCTTTGAGGAAGCTGCAAGCTGCTTTCCAATTCTAGAAACACTTCTACAGGCTGTCCAGATGGAACCAGAATCTCAGACGGTAAGTGCTTGACAGGTAGCTACCTATCTCATCAGCAAACTATACCTTATTAAAAATTTTATACCAAAGCAGTCATTTAAAATATGACTAAATTGCCTCAGTATCTATACCATACACAAAGTTCTAACATGAATTCCCAGGCTGTCCTTATATTCTGTGAAAATATTGTCTCTCTTTTTTCCCCCACTTACATTGGTTATTCCTTTATATTTCCTTCCCCAATAGATTTTAATTATTATTGTTTTGTGCTGCATAATTAAAGGATCTGAATCAGGAAATAACTTCCTTCTCATTCTCTTCTGGTCTTAATTTCATATGTATTCATTGAGAAAACATGGTTTACTAACATAACCTATTAAGTTTGTTTTACTTGTTATGTTAGGGCTGAAATTCAGGCCCTACTGACTTTCATGGTAGAACTCCCTGGCTTCAACAGTACTAGGATTATCTAAAATTAAATATAAATATATAAATAAATAAATAAATATATATAGTTTCATAGTAGGTAGGGTCGGAAGGGACTGGAGCAGATCAACAAGTCCGACCCCCTGCCCTGGGCAGGAAAGAATGCTGGGGTCAAATGACCCCGGCTAGGTGACTGCCTAGTCTCTTTTTGAAGACCCCCAGGGTAGGAGCAAGTGCCACTTCCCTGGGAAGTTGGTTCCAGATCCTAGCTGCCCTGACTGTGAAGTAGCGCCTCCTGATATCTAGCCTGAATCTACTCTTGGTCAACTTATGGTCGTTGTTCCTCATTACTCCCGGTAGTGCTCGGGGGAACAGGGACTCCCCCATAGCCTGCCGGGCCCCCTTGGCCAGTTTATAGACAACCACCAGATCCCCTCTCAGCCTTATTTTGTGGAGGCTGAACAGGTTCAGGTACTGTAGTCTCTGCTCGTAGGGCCTACGCTGCTGCCCCCTGATCATGTGAGTGGCCCTCCTCTGGCCCCTCTTGATGCTGTCCACGTCCCTCCTAAAGTGCGGTGCCCAGAACTGGATGCAGTACTCCAACTGCGGCCTGACCAGTGTCGCATAGAGGGGGAAGATCACCTCCTTGGACCTGCTCATGATGCATCTGTGGATGCATGACAAGGTGCGGTTAGCCTTCCTGACCACGTCCCCACATTGGTGGCCCATATTCATTTTGGAATCAATAGTGACACTAAGATCCTTTTCTGCCTGTGCTGACGAGAGGGGAGTTCCACAGCCTGTAGGTATACTGCTGGTTCTCCCTCCCTAGGTGCAGAACCTTGCACTTGTCAGTATTGAATCCCATCCTGTTCTCAGCCGCCCACCCCTGTAACCTGTCTAGATCTAGTTGCAGCCTGTCCCTCTCCTCCAGCATGCCCACTTCTCCCCACATGTTAGTGTCATCCACAAATTTGAACAAGGTGCTTTTCACCCCCTCGTCCAAGTCACTGATGAAGATGTTGAACAGTGCAGGCCCGAGGACCAAGCC